GCCGGAAGTGGCGGCGCGGGCGAGAGGAGAACGTGACTGACGTCAGCTGGCGGAGCGGAGGGGCGGCCGCCGCGTGATCAGCCCCCGCCCGCGGCGCCCGTCCGGCCTTCTCTTTCTTCTTTTTTCGGTAGAATGTGGAAGGTAGATTTTGATGCTCCTTCTTTTAAGGCTAGAACTTTGCCTTTGCTCGAAGTTACCAGTGTAAGTTACTTGTTCATTATGGAAAATTTGGGGGAAAAAAGGGAAAGATAAGGAATATCAGTAGCCCCCGGCTTTATATTTTCTTGCAGCCTTTCTTTCACTTTAGTCAAAATTGTGATCTTGCTGTGTAACAGTGATTTTAAGTACAAAAATTCTAAAGGGACAAAAAGCAGCAAGACTAAGTTAGAAAAAACATTTCGGAGGAGAGAAGTGCAGAGAATAGGCGAAAGGGTAATAGTCGTAGTCTTTAGTGAGCTTTTCACACACGGTATCTTATTTACTACGCACGTCATCCGGATGAGGAAACTGGGGCTCAGAGGGTTAAATAACTTGCCCAAGGTTGCACCGTTAATAAGCAGGTAGCAGAGTGGAGGTGAGGGGGTTGTTGAAGACAGGGGTTAAAATCTGAACCTTAAGATGATGGCTATGGGGAGGACAGTGAAAAAGTGCTAGGGAGAAGGGCAGAAAAGGCGCAGGGATTGCCTGTGGTTGCAGGTTGCAGACCTGCTCTGAACTTACGTAACAGTCAGGTTGGAGCTGGTTCCCAGGAACAAGGGTAGTATGTCCATCAGTTGGATCAGCCCCTCGGGAGCTTGCCATAAAGCAGCTCACACTAATACACTGCCTTAAGGGCCACTAGTTGCTGAGTGTCACCGACTTCTAGCACTGCTCTCTCTGTTAGTAGCAGTGGAAGGTGGGGTCCGCACCAGCTCAGGTGTTTGTTAGGTCTGTCTTGCTACTCCAAGTGCAGCCTGCAGCCCAGGAGCATCTCTTCAGTCCAGCACTTTCTGCATCCGGCTTGATGATACACATGTGGAATCTTGGACCCCACCCCTGGAACTTCTGAATCAAAATCTGAGTTCTTATTAGATCCCTGGGTGATTCCTATGCACATTAAAGCACTGCTGTAAACTGCTCTCTTGGTGAGGCAGGTGGGATGATAGAAAGATCCGAAGGAAGCTCGTGAGCTGGACACTGGGAGGGCAGGGAGACAGGAGCTAGGTCTGTAAGGTGGTTTTTAAAAGAGGATCAAATACAGAGTATCAGGAAATACAAGATGCAGAGGAAGAAAACTAGGAATTCAGAATCTGGGAGATTAAAAAAAAGAAATAGGTTAAGAGTAAGCAGCTCCATCTTGGGGAAGTTCACAAAAGAAATAGACACAAGGGCTAGACTTATGCCTGAGAGGGTCCAGGAATCAGTGAAAGATGGGATGGACTTATGTGACTAGAAATTGCTGGGCCCAGGTCACAGGGTTGATGACCTTGAGAGAGCCAGGTGGCAGGCCTACAGACCTTCACTTAGGTAGGTGGTTCTTGGAGTCATTTTCTGGAAGTGTTCAAGTAGCCTGTCACTCCTCTAAATACTAGCAAGCTGTTGAGATGATAACAGTTCTGGTAGAGGCAGGTGTGAACCAAGTGTTCTGGGTGTAGGAGTAGCAAGTTGTTCTCATGATGCCCACTGTGGTAGAGGCCCAGCCATGTTGCCTGGAGGAGTTAACGATGGTATCCCTCTCATACAGGTTAATACCTTCAGTCTGAGGATGGCCAGTTTGTGCAGTAGACAGCAGGCTGTGTGCTGCTTGCTCCTGAATACAAATGGTGTCTACAGCATGGAAAGGCAGCAGCTGGGTAGCCCTGAGGTGGGAGGTCCAAATGACTAATAGAGGAGGTGTGCAGCAGACGGTACAGATGGGAGTATGTCTGGGGTGGTGGTGGTGCAGGGTTTGAAGAGCACTGTCCTGGTGGGAGTGTCTAGGACCACTCTGGTAGTGTGGACCGAGTCTGAAATGAGGTCTGTGCTGACGGTGTCCCAAGTGTCTGGATGCTGGGAGTGGGTGCAGCAACCCTACCGGTTCTCCTAGGCCCATGCCTGACCTGGTAGAAACGGTGTCAGGTTAGAGGAGGTCAGTGTAACTCTGAACCCATTCCAGTTTTTGATGGGCTGTGATGGGCCAGGGTAGTCGCGAGTGAAGACCTGAGCACTTGAGCAGGGGCCTCTCTGGGTGAATTATTTGCACCAGCCATGTGTTTTATGGCCCCTGTATTTCTTCTGGCCCCTGTGGCCCTTAAAACACAGCACAAGGTCTAATTCTCTGTCGACCTCTATGGTTTCTTCCCTCAAGGATTTCCCCCACTGCCTGGAGCACCCGGGAGCTCTCCACACAGGCTAGCCCCTAAATCACAGAGGACAGACAACACTTAATGTGCTGACCCATCCCTACCTTGTAGGGGCACAGCTCCCCCTTTTACCAGAAGTGCTCACAGATTGCCCCCCACCCCAGTTAGGCCCATCAGAGCCTTTCTTGGGGGATTTTGGACTTTGGATCAGGGGGAGTAGAGCAATCAGTATTGCTCCACGTAGAAGCGGAAGTCATACTTTCAGGCTCGTTAGGAGCCAGAATTCCCACCAGAGGAGCTGCTCTGTGCTGAGACTGAGTGAAGAAGACCCAGGAGAGACAGCGATAGGTCAGATGGACCCTGGATCCAGGAGTCCTGAGGCCTAGCCACACCTCAGCTCTACCCCAGGATGGCTGTCCAGCCCAATTTTAGTGTCCATGAGCCAGTCACACATTCCTGTTTTTGCCTGAGCTGGTTAGAGTTGGGTTTTTGTTAGCTACAATCAAAAGAAGACAAAAACCTACCTCATATGGACTTTTCTTGTCTTCCCAAGGATAATGAAGTATAAGGAATTTATATTAAAGGAACATGCTAAAGGGCAAAGAATATACACTTTGGAGTAAAATGAAAGATTTTTAATGCTGTTTCCAGCAAGCTACTTAACCTCAGAGAGACTGTTTAACTTTATAAAAGAAGGTTTAATGGCTAAGCTCAAAGAATAATAAGGACTAAGTGAGAAAAATGACTTAAGTGAGAATGTAAATGAAAATGCCTGGCACTAGTAGGCATATAGGAAATGTTCACTTCCCTCTGTTCTCCTGGAAGACAGGCTTCCATTCTGTGTCTTTCAATATCTCCATTCTGTGATCAATGAATTAAAAAACAGGAATTGAATTTTACCAGTTGTTAAACTTTTTGGAGAATAAAGAAGGAAATAAATATCAAGTGAACAAGCAATTACAAGCATTAATTTGAAATGTTCATATTCCTTTGACACTTGGACCTTTTTTTCCTATTTCACTATCACCTAAATCTCCCAAAAGGTTTATAATTTTATGACTAGGCCAACATGAGATACAATTTGGAAAAGCTAGTGACACTGTGCTTTATTTGAGAACACAAAAAAAGGGCATGACCAGAACTCTGCCAGAATGGTCCTTAACATTCTGCATACCCTAGCCAGGGCAGTATTAACTTTCCAACACTGTTGATGTAAGACAGAGTGCTGCTAACTTCTTAGAGAATTAGAAAAAGATTGAAACAAACTCTAAAGGTGCGTTCTTTAAGAAGGAAAGTGGGCTGGTTTTCTTTTTGCTCCTTTAAAAACTCTAGCCAGAAATACCACCCAATTTATAATGAAGACTCTACACAGCAGCACCAAAAGGGCTATTTACAAGAAGAGTTTTTTTCCCAACAGAATCCACTTGAATGCACCGAGAAACTGCATCTTAGCTAAGAGTGGTTCACTAAGAACAAGGCCATCTAAGTGCCTAACTAGTATTTAAAGTTGTCAAAGGGTGGGGATGTGCAAATTTAGCAGCAAAAGACTCTTTTGTTTTGCCTCAAGGGAAAGTGATGGTGGTCAGAGGGGCCAGTTCCAAGGGCTGGTCCAGCGGGGGCCGCTGGTCTTGGTACTCCGCCACATGCCCATTCCGGTGGTGGCCGTACTCAAACTTGATTCGCAGCTCGCCAATCTTGGACTGGGGGAGAATATCCGGGATCCACTCAATGATGAAAGGTGTTGGCTCCTTTTGATCTGGGGAAGTGTTGCCTGAAGACAAGGAGGAAAAAAAAAAAAAAAAAAAGGAAAAGAGAGAAAAGAAGAGCAAAAAGATTAGTACAATTCCAAAATAAATTTGAATCTGGACAGATATTACTCTGCTCAGGAATTTTAAAAAGAAACAAAAGAGAAGTTTAAAAAAGTATGAGGGGAAAAAAAGAGTTAGAGGGACAAGAAGAAGAATCGAGGGAAGGGAAAGGTGATTACTGCTGTATCTGTTCAAAAGGTTTCAGGGAACTGTCTGGCATCCTCAAATAAAATAAGACCCAGCCTTTATGAAAACAGGGCCAAAAGAATCATAAGGAGAGCCCAGACTGAGAGGAAAAGAAAGCCGGATGAGATTAAAAGGGAGACTAGCAAGAAAAGTCAAGTTTCAAGGAATGCAGAAAGAAACAATTAAAATGTACATGGTTCTAAAACATTACAGCAGGTTGGGTATAGCTCGTGTGGTAGAGTGTAGGCTTAGCATGCATGAGGTCCTGGGTTCAATCCTGAATACCTCCTCTAGAAATAAATAAATAAACCTCCTCCAAAATAAAAACAAATAAAAAAACCATAAAAGACTGATAAAGCAATACAATTAAAAAATATTATAATTCTATGATAAGCAAAAGCATTTGGTACTGGTTGTATGTTTAGACAGATTAAAAGAACAAAACAGAAAGATCCAAAATGGACACAAATAGAACAGGAATTTAGCATAAAGGCAGCGTTTTCAATTAGTAAAAGAAATACAAGTAAGTGTTTCTTATAACAAATGGTGTACATCAACTACACAACTATCTGGAAAAAAATAAAAGGTGGCAGAATCTTACCTCATACCTTACATCAAAATAAAGTCCAGAAGATCAAAGATTTAAACATGAAAATGTTACAGAATGCTTTTGAAAAAATACAAAATACTGGCAGAATTAAAAATAAGCATATGGTATCACCTTCACAACTATAGAGACAAGCATAGAAAACATAGCCAATTAGCAAAAAAACAGAAAAATAAAACAAGATGGAAGAACAAATATATCGATTATAATGAAGGGGACAAACTATTTAAGTTGGAGAAAAGTCAAAACCAACCATATAATATTGATAAAAGATTCAACTAGAACAAAGTGTCACAAAAAAGTCAAAAGGCTGGCAAACATCACAAAAATGAAAAGACAGCTGGTATCACTGTTGTAATATTGAACATAGAAGAATTTAGGACAAATGTTATTTTTACATTGATAAATAGTGCTAAATTTTGTATCCTCCTAAAATTTGTAAATTGAAAACCTAATCCCCAATGTGATTGTACTTGGAATTGGGGCCTTTGGGTCATGAGCACAGAGACCTGACGGATGAGATGAGTGCCCTTTAGACCCCAGAGACATCCTTGCCCTTTCTGTAATGTGGGGACACAGAGAGAAGACTGCCGATGGCTATCTATGAGCCAGGAGATAGGCCCTAACCAGACAATGAATTTGTCAGTGCCTTGATCTTGAACTTCCCAGCCTGTGGAACTGTGAGAAATAAATTTCTGTTGTTTATAAGCCATCCAGTTTATAGTATTCTGTTACAGCAGCCCAAATGGATTAAGACAATATATTTACACTGACATCTGTCAGTAACTCTGATGTACAAAAAACACTGCATTACAGTAGTTAAAAGGCATTTTGCAATATGAAGAGACATTTAGAGAAACAATTGTAGTAGGAAGTTGTATCATGACTCTGCTATGTAAGTTTTGTTAAGTCTTAAAACTATATAAAACTTTATATTGGATAAATAATAACATCTTTGCTAGCACAAATTCTTATCATACATTAGGATAGTAGGAAAATATTTCTAAATTCCTAAAAAAATAGAAATTAAAAAGGTACATCTTCTGACCTCAAAATAATAAAACTAGAAATTGATACCTAAGAACATAAAAATCAAAAACCTCAATCAGGGGTTGGAGGGGATAAATTTGGGAGTTTGAGATTTACAAATGTTACCCACTATATATAAAAGTAGATTTAAAAAAAGTTTCTTTTGTATAGCACGGGGCACTGTGTTCAATGTCTTGTAATCACCTTTAATGGAAAAAAATATGAAAATGAATATATGCATATATATGCATGACTGGGACATTGTGCTGCACACCAGAGACTGACACAGTGTAACTGACTGTACTTCAATTAAAAACAAAACAAAACAATCTCAACCAACTGGAAAAATTTAAATACAAAGTACTGGGGACACAGAGAAACTAAACTATAATATAGATTATTTAGATATTAATAATAAGAAGAATCTTAAATGTTCTTATTATCAAACATGAAACTAGAAAGTTAACTGATATTTCCAAAAGACATAAAAATAAAATAACCATGAAAATGTTACAAAAATTTTTTAAAGCATTAGAAGAAATTTTTACAAACAAAAGCAGAAAAGAGGTTAAAACAGAAATTTAGAACAACTGATAAATACAAGAGCCAGTTCTATGAAAAAGACAAAATTCTGGTGGAGTATCTAACTATAGACTTAGATTTTAAAAGTTATGTGATTATCCTCCATACCAAAAACTATCAAAGTGTACACAAGTTAAATTCTGGATGAAAACAGAAGAATTTTGGAAAAAATATAAATGATTAAAATTGACTCAAGAAGAGACAGAGACCATGAATACAAATGTAAATCAGAAGAAACTAAACAAGTTTTTAGAGAACTCTTGCAAGTCAGGGCTAGGTCCAGATAATAAATTCTTCCAAATATTCAAGGAACAGATATTTCCTAAGCTATTTAATTTGATCCAAGGCTTTCTAAAATCATTTTCTATATAGCTATTACCAAAACCCAAAAAAGCCTCCAGATAGGAAACTGTGGACACTTATCACTTAGGGATAATAAAAAATCCTAAATAAAATGTTAGCAAATAGAACCTATATATATATATTAAAAGAAAAAACACCACAAAGGATTTATTCCAGAAATGCAAGATTTTATCAATATTAGAAAATTATTCATAAAATTCATATTGTCTTGTGGTAGCTCACAGCAAAAAAAATGTGACAATGAATATATGTATGTTCATGTATAACTGAAAAATTGTGCTGTACACCAGAATTTGACACAACATTGTAAAATGACTATACCTCAATAAAAAATGTTAAAAAAAAGTCAACAGGTGTTTTTATTTCAGGATCTTTTTAATATGCAAATTTATAGGATGAATTTCTAAGAGAGATAAATTATACTCTAAGACTCTACTCCTACTGCCTCCCTCCTTCAACTGTAACATTTTCTGAGATCTGAGTGAATCTTAACAACCAGGGGAATTTTTATATGGCAAAGTTTCTTTTCCCACCAAAGATATTATTACTAAACTGACTGAGCATCTGAAAGTCAAGGGTCTTAGAATCCAAGGAATACAATAGGTAGCACTTCTCACTTATCAGACCATGGCGTGCTTTTCTCACAGAATACTTCTCACTGTCTCTTCTTCAGGACAGAGTTGGAGAAGCTGGAGGAGTTTTCAGTCTAAAATGATAATCATGGCTGCTAGCTTTACTGTTCATTGTTTGCTCTTGAAGTCAGTTAATTTAACAAGAGAAAACAATGAAATACAAATACTGGGAGGAAACAAAATTTTTTTTTTCAGGTGATGTAATTGATTTCCCAGAAACCAACAAGTAAACCACCATCATCACTACTAGGAACTCAAGGAGGGCAATTTGATAATAAGTAAACCCAAATCAAGAGCTTTCCACACATTGGCAGAAACATGATAAACATCTTATTCACAAGTACAGCCAAAAATATACTTCACAAGAATTTGATAAAATAATTCTCAATTCTAAATTTCTCCTAGAAGCATCAGTGCACAAAGAGAGAAATGAAGGGGGCCCACTAGATGGAGCACAAAGCTATGATAATTAAAATTATGGCTGGCATTCATTCATTCTTTAGTCAGTAAGTACCTGTTATGGACTGGGCACTGTACTATCTTATGGGCAGAATGACAGTGACATAGTTCACTGCCCTGAATGTGCTTATAGTCTAGTCAGTGGAAAGACAGGTGAATGGTGATGGCTAGCAGTGAAGGCTCTGGAGTCCAAAACTGCCTGGGGTTGAAGACCACCTCCACCACTTCACTAGCTGTGTAACTCTGGGCAGGATACTGCACCTGTCTTCGCCTCAGTTTATTCATCTGTAAATGGGGATCACAGCGTCTACCTCTCAGTGGGTTGGTAAGTTAAACTAAATTAAATTAATTAATGTATGTAAAGCACTTAAAATAACAGCTAGCACAGAGTAGGTGCTCATCAAGTGCTACTTTTTATAGTTGACATTATTATTGTTACATTATTGTACAAATACCCCAATTAAAATTAGACAAAGAAATAGCAATTCATCAAATACAAATGACTAATATGAAAAGTTTACTCTCATCAATATTTGAGGGTAATGCAAATTAACAGAATGATAGAACATTTTTTGCCCATCAAATCAACAAAGATTTAAAAAGGAGAAACTCTTTCATACATAGCTAACAGGAGTAAAACTGTAGAAATATTACAATCTTCCTGGAGAGCAGTGTGATGAAAACAATCAAAAGCCCTAAAAATGTACATAAACTTTGACCCTCCAATTTCACTTTTAAGAATTTATCCTAAAGAATATCCTAAATAAGTCAGGGAATAATTAAGAATATAAAAGGTCTATCTAAAAGGAAGTTAATTCTAAAAGGAAGCATTGAGGGAGGGTATAGCTCAGTGGTGGAGCACATGCTCAGCATGCATGAGGTCCTGGTACCTCTATTAAAATAAATAACCTAATTACCTCCCCTGCGAAAAAACCCACAAAAATAAACAAATAAAATAAAAGGAAGCATTGTTTATATTACCAAAAAATTTGAAACAACTTAAATTCAGGATTGATTAGAGTGAGGTACCTTAATGAATTCAATGTTATACAGCTATTAAAAATGTTGTATTCACATATACTCTGGTTTCTCTTCAGATCATACAAATCGTTCGCCGTTTACTAAAGATTTCAGTGGAGAGGAAAAGTGTTGTATTCACAATAGCCAAAAAGTAGAAGTAATCCAAGTATCCATCAATAGATGAATGGATAAACAAAATGTAGTATATACATATAATGAAATATTTTTCAGCCTTAGAAAGGAAGGAAAATTTGACATATGCTACAATGTGGATGAAGACATCATGCCAAGTGAAATAAGCCAGTCACAAAAGGACAAAGACTGTATGATTCGACTTACATGAGGTACCCAGAGTGTCAGATTCATACAGACAAGGCGGAATGGTCACCAGGGCTGGGGGAAGGCAGGAGTGGGGAGTTAGTATTTAATGGGTACAGTTTCAGTTGAGGAAGATGAAAAAGTTCTGGAGACGGACAGTGGTGATGGTTGCACAACAATGTGAAATTACTTAATGGCAAAAAACCTTATGTTTAAAAATAGGATGGTAAATTTTATATTATGTATGTTTTATAATAGTTTTTAAAAGTTTAAAAAATAATGCTGAAGATAGATATGGGAAGATAATCATGATATATTTTCAAGTGAAAAAAAAGCAGCTGACATATGATCTCACGTTTTGGAAACTCTTTTTCTGCACAGGGAAAGGTCTGAAAGAGCACACACCAAAATCTTAATGGTGATGTCCTCTTTGGTGGGTGGGGTTACAGGTAGTTTTTAGCTTCCTCCTTTAAACTCTATAATTTCTGTATAATAAACAAGTATTACTTGTCTAATTTTATTTCAAAAGCACTGGCTCAAATGAAACAAAACACCTTATCTCATGACTGCCTACCCAAAATGCATGAATGTGTCTTCCTTGCTTAAGTCTCGGATAGTGTAATGCACACAGCTGACCCTCAGCGGAAGATGTGCTATCAAAACCACCAATTCACTCACCAACTTTGAGAAAAGTTTTTAGTTCCAAGGGTCGCAGCACTGGTTGCTTTTCTATACGACCGTAGGTTTCTGCTATGCTCTCTACTTCTACTTTAGGGCATTTAAACAGCTCGTAAGTCCCATCTCGGTTCTGGATAAAACTCCGGGTGATTTCCAAGGGCATCTGGATATGGAGACAATACCGAGAAAGATGAGAAAGAAAAAACTTTCAAAGTAGACAAACATTTGGAAGACGACTGATTTTATTCATTCTTTCCTGTTAAGTACACTGAAATTAACTGAAACTTCCCTTTGTATTTTCAAGTAAATTTTGTCAGCAAATCTCCCTTTTCTCCTATACATCGTTCATGGCTTTCCTTTTATTCTCTGTAACTTTAATTTGAACTCCTGTGCCTTCATGGCTACATGACTGCTACTGGCACAGACCTGCTCTAAAATCGGTTTTATTCCCTTCCCTACTGCTCTGCTCGCAGCGTTCCTCTCCTGAAAACTCTACCAATAGCACCTACAGCTGACCTCACACCCTGCGTGCTTCACGACATCCTTGGGGCTGAACCAGACAGAGCGTGGACTGAATTTTGTCTCTGCCACTAGAAGGCAGGATGAGCTTCTTGTAGCCTGTTTCTCATCTGCAAAATACAGTTAATATCAATGCATGGTGGTGAGATTGAATGGGGTGATGCAGGTAAGTAACACACAACAGACAGAAGCTCAATGATTATTCGCTCTCTTCCCTCACTTGCCTTTGCTCTTTGTTGTTTCGGTGCCTCCCTGAACACGACTTGTTTCAGGCTAGAAGATGCTTCTGTGACATCCTGCATTTAAACAAGTCCCTCAAGTGTCTTTAGTGCTAACACAGGCCTTTTCTAGGGTTCACGTGTAAGTTCCATAGCTATCAATTTATTCTTTTTCTGAACATAACAATGCCTTGCAATTAAATTAATCTTAATGTAGCAAGTCATATTATGCTGAATTTTGCACAATATTCTATTCTTGCAGGAAGGGAAAATCCTCAAGTTTTCAGGATCTGCCAAAAGGAAATGTTTAAGAATGTCTGAAATTGCTCTTGTGATAAAGAACATTAATTAAGAGTCAGTTCTCCAATAAGAACTAAAGTGCAGTTTGGAGAGGAATATTTAATTGTGCTGGACGCACTGACTTCAAAATAGTGTATCATCTCAAATTATAGATATACTTTCTAGCTGCCTGCCAGTTAATCTCGGGCTCATCACAGCTAGTAAGGGATCTTTATTTAATTTACAAGAGAAAGCACCCCTGTTTTCTGATCCCAAAGGCAAAGAAAAAGGATACTCCAATTTAAGATACTTCCTCAAGCTACTATGGAATAACTACTAAAATCAGAGTTGGAACCATACTCAGAACATTTCTGAATAATCTCTTCGTATGGAAAAAGGGAACTGTCTTTGGTGTCCACAACTCAAGGAGCTGGTGCAAGCATTCTTTTTGCACTTGCTTCCCTCTCTTCCCCTCCCTCCCCTCCCACTGTTGCAAAAATGAACTCTTACCTCTGGGGTATCTAAGATTTGTTTAACTTGCAGGATATTCGTGATGTGCCAGGTATACTTGGAAAATGTTCCCAGGGGCAAGGCATCTTTGCGAACAAAAGCTTCAAGGTGGAAAGGGGACAAAATTAGACTACCAAGAAATAACATGCTCTTTCACTACATTTGTTATCTAGTTTCTAGAGAGTTCAGTACAGTGATATTCCTGCTGTAGAGAATCCCAGGCCTCTAAAAAAGGAATTCTAGAAGTAAATCTATACTAGGGTTTTGGCAGAAATGTGATGAATCAACCGATACGGATTTCTGCTATATAAAGTCTCTGATGCTTCTTTGAGATACTACTCATTTTTGGCACCTTAGAAGCTTGTTTGGTAAAGACTGCACACACAAGACTCCATTATAAAACAGCCTCTTACATCCTGAGCTATGTCAGAGATCAAATCATAGTCCTTAAAAAAATTACATGAAGTTTAAGCCTGCTAACGTGGTTGTCAGTCTATGGCCCTGCCTCTGGATTATAAAGGGGTTCCACTGAAGGGCCTAAAAATATATAAGGAATGGGTTAAAATTTATGTATTAGGCCTGAAGTTTAAAATGGAAGAATCAGTACCACCTCAAAAGTCTCTTTTTACAGCTTATCCCTCTGCCTTTTGAGGAACTAAACAGAGTGACTGACAGTTTGCACTATCCAAAGATAGAATTAAACCTCAAACAGGTTGTATTATGTCATCAAATAACAATTTACTGAAGAAATAGCCTTGATTTCTAGCTGAGGTTCCTCTTGGGCTATTTGCCCCTGAGCAACTTTTCTTCCTCCTTTTCTCTTCCTTCTCTCTTTATGCTACCTAATGAGCATCTTGAGATCTCTAGTAGAAAGATGTTATATAAAATCCAGAAATAAGCACCAGGATAATGTCATTATAAAATGTTCCAAGCCTGAGAATCACTCTAAAAATAAAATCTTCCTTCATCAAAAATTGAGAGTCATGAAAAACAAGTTTCAGTTTTTGATACATACTGTAATTTGCACCCAAGAAGCAGCCCGAATAACGACTGGAGCCTGCAATGTGTCCGTGGAAATTGGTTCATATCCAGAAAATACCCAGCTTCTTGGTGGGCACCTACATTGCACTTCACTGTGGTTCTTTTACCAAGTCTGTGCTTTCTGAATCTTTCCAGCCACTCTTACTGGAATAAGCATGGGGCCTTTGAAGAGCATGATCATTATTCTAAGAGCTGACTGGCCAAGGCTTCAGGCTCTGAGCATGTAACTGGAAGTCTTAATCCTGAAAATTCCATACAATTTTTCCCCAAGCTTAATTGTCTAAGGCCAAGACACCTGTTGCTATTCCTGAGGGAAGAATCCCATACCTGTGGTGGAGTTGGGGAGCCGTTTTTTTGCACTTCCTATGGATATCCTCTGCTGCAGGGCATCAAAAAAGGACTGAGGAATGTGGAACACCAGTGGCTCTGGTTTGCCTGTGGGAAATAAGGAGCAGCTCATTTAAAGAAACTCAGCGGGCCTTCTGATGTGTAGGGAAAGACAGAAGAAATGGAACTGATGGGTGGTAGTGACTAAAAATACCACTGAGATAGCTTTACACGGAGGCAAAAAAGAAGGCTTTGCTTGACCTTTATGAGTCAAGCACTGCCACCAGCCCTGCTCTTGACCCCTTGCAGTCATCACAAATATAGCAGACCCTTGTCATCTACCAAAGAGAACTTCTCAAATCCCTAATTTTGTAAACACCACCACAGCACAGACTTCCCGAGCCCTCTAAAGAGGACAGGAAGTGAGATGAGAAGGCGGAGGCTGAGCTGAGCAGGTAAACTTGATTCACTCCTGCTCACTATCAGCCAGGCACTTGCTGTTTGCATTTCTGCTCTCAGATGGTCAGGGCCTTGAATGCGAGAGATCCCAAAGTTATACCGCCTTATCCAATAAGCATGAGTCTTCTCTCTGATCTGAAGGCAGGCAAGCTGTTTGAAAATATGTAACAAACCTCAAAAAAACTTATAAGACACTAGGTCAACAGAATGAGTGTTCAGGGGAGGAGTCAAAAGAGTTCACAGTTTTCCTTAAAAACTCTCCTAAAGGGGGCTAGCTCTAATAGGAACATATCCAGAACCTTGTGGATTAACATGTAACTTCCACCTGCCTGGATGCAACTTAAGGAGTAGCTCTTAAAGAAGACTCTTAAAGTCAGTTCAGATGCCTTTTTGAAACAAAGGTCAAACAAAGAAAAATAAAAAATGAAAGGTCTTCTAGAGTTCTATAGCAAGATTTTACGTTCTTTCAATTGGTTTTGTCTACTTAATTGAATGCAGAATGTCAATGACAAAACTGTCACTGCTTGTTAGCAACTAAAATATTAACATCTGGGCAGTTTAAGAAGTCACCACAGAAAGGAATTTAAAAACCTTTCATCTTGAAATTAGATTATGGGCTACATGCAGAGATCATTATAACTCTACAAGTGCTAACTCACCAGAACTCAGCGGATGGGATTCTAGGGTTTAGGTTTACTAATTAATCTTGAAAAGCCTTCATAAAAGACACAGAATCACAGTCCAGGAGAGAGCTGATGGTGACTTTGACAAAGGTGGAGGCAATGGAGATGATGTGAGGGGGTGGTACAAGGAATGGGATGGAAAAGGACCACAGTTTATAGCTTACATTATTGTCAACGTTCTATTTTCTGTTTTGGGAGGCAGATGAGCACATATTTATTATATTATTTCAAACAACATATAAATAAATAAATTTTCAAAAGAAAAGAAAAGAAAAACATAGACTCTCTCTTTAACCTTCCCTACCTTTTTTTCTTAACAAAGTAACTTCTGAAGTTTTATTCGTTCTGAATATAAATAAAACTAAACATGTATTATCAGCAAACATTTCCACTTAGCATAAGGAAGACCCTCCTCACAGCTATCACTGTCCAACAATGTTATGAGCTGGCTTAAAAAACAGTGAGCTGCTCATCACTGCATAAAGCCTGCAAAACCATCCGTCAAGGATGCTTTTAAGGTAATGGGCAAGGACTGGTTGGATGGCCCACCGCCAAAACTGCTGAGGCTCTGTGAGGCTATCACAGTCAACCCAAGTCTGGCCTATGTTCTCCAGTCTCCTTTAGCATGTCTGTGTAATTTTACATCACTATCTTAGTCTCACATGCTTAGATTTTTTTTTCTAAACCTTTTCCTCCCTTGCTTTGATTTTAAGTTTGAGGGTCAGAATGATCTTCTAAGGCTTTGGTATCTCCCTCACCAAACACACACCCTCATACACCCCAAGAACAAGGCTATCTACCTTTACTTATTATTTGCTGTGTTTTTTTGCTTCCATCTCTAAATTCATTTTGCTTGTCCTGCACTTTAATTACGTGATTATTTCTTTCTTTCATTTAGATTTCTACTTTCTTGTGGTCCAGTGCACTCTGGACTGAAGCTCAATTACTTTTCCTATCAAAACTTTTCCTATGACACAATTACTTTAATTTCTCCTACTTTCAGCAATAGCCCAGTTGGATGACCAGTACTTACCATCAAACTGATAGTGCATGGTTTGATGGATGCGTTCTGTGACACTGGCCAGCCAGTCTTGGAAGGATAAGGTCACTTGTGCCTCATCTAACAGCTGACCACAGGCTAAGGGGAAAAAAAAAAAATTCTTCAGTAACTTTTATCTTTTCTTACAGAATTAAAAAGCTAATTAAAGTTTGAAAAAGCTAAGGAAGAAGTTTACACAGAAAAGAGCAGTAAGCTGAAATTCAAAGAAATCAGATACATTAAGTGAAATGGAATGTTGCAGGTTTTTTTTTAAAGAATCCATCTGGAAAAAAAAAGAAATGAAAAGCTCTGTGAGACTAATGGGTTTAAGATTATTAAGTGCAGAAAGTTTGCAGCCTTTCAACTTCAGACAGCAGACTGAAGAATGGCTTTGTATAATGGCTCTCTTAGAGATCTATAAACTGGCCCTGTTCCTGACAAATGTGTCTATATACCGACCAACCTGCCATCCTATTGTTCCTTCTCCTGAAATGTCTTCATATGTCTGAAGTATAGCCCCGTTTTTAAAGAGATAATGATGCCAAAACTACTATTCATTTAAAATCAAAATTCTCATAGGTCAATGTATATAGTGATAATTTGGATTAAAAGCTATTTTCTTTTTTCTTTGCACCAAAGTGATAAAAATTTGTTAAAAAATTTCTCCCATATACTTTTTTTTGAGGGGGGGGAGAATTAGGTTTATTTATTCATTTATTTGTAATTAGGCATATTTATTTATTTATTTTTAATGGAGGTACTGGGAATTGAACCCAGGACCTCATGGTGCTAAGCAAGTACTCTACCTCTGATCTACACCCTCCCTGCCACTCCTATATACTTTTGATTTGTTTACTTCCTGACCTTTGAAGAACATTTATTCTTGGAATGTGTACGTTCTTAATTAATTAGTTAATTAAAATTTGGCCTTGTATCATTTATTTGCTATTTATGTACTAATCTTGTCTTTAAAGCTAGAGTATGCGGGTAGGGGAAGATGTCTAATTTTTAATCACCCAGCCATGTTATATGAGAGTTAAGAAAATGTTGATCCCCAAATGTACAAGCTTAATTATTCTGAGTAGGAAAGTGATGTATATATAAATTTGTTATGTTCAAATTAAGTCATTCTACCTCATAAATTCAGAATGATGGCCCTGCTACGGCTTTTAGGTGTTTTCAAACTTCACTAGCTTTGGAGAACAGACTATATTTGTCTTTCTCAACAAATATTTATCACTGAAAAATTGTAAAATATGTTTCTTTTTCAGCCTTGAATCTCCATACCAACTGCATGTGGGTAAGGAGCAACAAAAGGAAAATATCCTACAAAACATGTGCTGTCAAAATGTGTCAGTAATTTTTGTTGCATCGGTTATTTAAAAGGCAATTTGGGGCAAAGGGTATAGCTCAGTGGCAGAGTGCCTGCTTTGCATGCATGAGGTCCTGGGTTCAATCCCCTGCACCTCCAATAAAAATAAATAAACAGATATGCCTAATTACCCTCCACCTAAATTAATAGATAAAAAGCAATTGCCACTTAAAAAATTAAAAATAAATATTTTTAAAAAAAGAAAAGACAATTTGGTTTTGAGTCTGATTTGAGACGAGCAGGAGGGACAGCAGAGTCCAGCCTCAGCGCCTACTAGTGTGTATCTCAGCACTCCTTGGGGGACAACATGCAACATGTCTTTTAATTAACACTGCTTTGGGCTTCTTTAGGATGATTTTCCACTTCTTTAGCCTATCCTGGGGAAGGGAAACTTACCCTGCCTTTTTAATGCAGAAGCAACCACCGGCTTTTTCAGGCCACTTTTCCTTAGACTAGTGCTCACTGTGTCTTGAGGCAACAGCGAACTGTTGGTCTGTGCACCTAAACCACAAATCATTATACTGTTCAAAAAGATGTCTGCAGAATATAAATCGATCCAATATTAATTTCTGAAGAGTCTAAAACATATAAAAAGTCTTTACTAATTTCTAGGTTAGCTTCAGTTTCTAGAAGGAATTAGCATCAGCCTTTACACATAACATTTGAAGTGTCTTACACTCTTTACAGGAAGTTGGTGGGGGGCGACTAGAAGTGAAAGGAAGAAAAAAAAATCATCCTTTACTCCCACCCCTCAGACTATTTTCTGGTGAATGTTCATCCATTTTCTTTTTTGTAAATAGTTTTTTTGCTGGTTTTGTGATTTTAAGTAGCTGTCATTATACCAAGATTGCCTGATTTAGCAAAATAATTTTGTTTGAATTTCGAACAAATGAACACTTTTTTAGTATCAGTACATTCCAAAGAGTGCATGGGAAATACATATGCTAAAAAATTATTCATTGTTTATCTGAAATTCAAATTAAACTGAGCATTCTGTACTTCATCTGGCTACCCAAGTGATCTAAACATTTCTCCAAACTCTTTATAATCATTTTTAATGACTGCCTAACAGTGTCTGTCAAGTGGCTTTATCATGGTTCATTTAACTATCCGCAGTGGTTGGCCCTTAGTTGTTCCTAATTTTTCAGAATTATAAATAACCACACAATGAGCATCTCTGAACAAAATGCTTTTCCTATACCAAGGATTATTTCTTTAAAAAAGTTTATTTAGAAGTGGGATTACTCAGTTAAAGGGTAAAAAAAAAATTTTTTTTGTGAGTTTTCCGAGGAAAGATCCATCAGTAGACATTTAATAGCAATCTCTGTATTGCTGCCAGAATTTCTCTCACAAACACAGAAATAACCGTGTCACTTTGTTTCTCCAGCCACATGCTGAAAATGCAGATAACAAACTACTCCTCAATTATCATGGAAATGTAATTAACCATTGTCACAAAATTTTTAAAAACATCTATCAATGAAAACTTCATGGCACTATCATAGGCAGATTAAGGTGTAAGACTAGTCTGAAAGTTTAAAGGATGAACAAGCATAAATAGAAATAAAAGTGGTGTTTGGTTGGATCTTATATTTGGCCAACAGAACCAAGTCTTAGCTTGACTTGACAAAGAATCATCAGTGGAGGGCAAAACTTTTCCAGGGAAAAAAAACCCAACAGCATTATTTCTTATATTTGCTGAGATCGAGTGGGAACAGATAAAATACAGTAAAAACAATTTCTAAAGGTAACACCACCAAACAAACAAACCAAACAGCTTCTCACCAGGTACTTCCTCCTTTTTCCTCTTCTTTGGCTTAGAGGCAGTAGACTCACACGCTGATACTGTTGATTCTGAATGGCAGCCTAACTGGGGCACAATAATCTCTTTAAGACCTAAAACATAACAAATTTCTGAATTATTAATACTATCCAAGAGTAAGTACAGGCCCCTATCTAGAGAAAAATTAATTTATAAAAATCCAAATCCCCAAAACAAATCATAGAGTGACTGCCTGCTTTTAAAATCAGTTCCTAAAAAAACAAAACAAAACAAAACAAAAAAACAGAAAAAGAAAAGAAAAAATCAGTTTCTTTAAAGAATTCCCCAAAACATATGTTTTCATTCATGGACCATTAACATGTTAAAAGGCTCTACAGAGAAATGTAAAACTAAAAAGTTGGGAGCTGTTGCCAACTAAAGATCATTTAGAAATGAAAATAAAAAGCATCTAAAAGATAAAAATGTTAAAAATAACAACATAAGACTCGATGTAGAAACTTTTAAAGGTCTTATTTTGAGCAAGGTACTAGTTTTCTCCATCTTCAAAGATAAGAAACAAGCAAGTAAGACAAAATAGAAGGGAATTTTTGGTTGGTGGTTCTTTGTTTTTACTAACTAGGGCATCTGTGGAAGAGTTGAAAAAAAAAAAAAAGCAAAGCTAAGCTAACTTTCCTAGATTCGTTGTTTCAATGATAATGCCCAAGTCTCTTGATCATTAATTTTAACCAGTCAACGAACCAACCAACCTTTATGCAAGTGTGCTGACTGGGATTAAAAGAAGGAATGCTTTGCATCTGAATTTTCTAGCAACTGCTTCTGAAGGCTGCTAGGACAATCTCCAAATGCCATCAATGGAGCTCTGTCATTGCGATTTTAGAAAAACAGAGTAACTGTGTCAACCATACCACCTACCGCTGGAATCAAAATTTAGGAAGTCTGAGAATTCCTGAGCCAATGTCTCGTCACTGGCAAAGGCACAGATGCAAGCAAAGAAATGAATGCATCTCTGGACCGCCTCATCCTTGGAGGCATTCGACTTGTGTGATTTCAGAGTCTGGCAGGAGCAGAAGAAACGGCGCTCGGGCAAGCTCTTGGCACCGATTTTCTGCACAAAGGATGTATGCAAATATCCCAGACTATGCTTCTGGCTTGCCTTGCATTTCACCACCAAAATGTTTTTAGTAATCCTCTGTACAAGGGGACCTGTGGGTTCGGTGGCCAACTGCCAGATGGTTTGCTTGGTTTCTGGAGAGGCCTGCATTGCATTCAGGACCGAGCTCTTTAGAGTCAGAGGGGTAGCCTCTGCCTGGCAGTTGACTGCCAGCTTGATGTGCTGGCACTGGTTTTCCACAACACCCTGGGTGGCAGCTTTCAGGCATGAGGGGACGTAACACCGTCCAGAGCTCAGCTGAGTGATGATCGTCCCATCCACCGTCTGGATTGTCGTCTCTGAAACACCTAGTTCCACAAAACACCGGTAATCAGGGCCCCGGTCTCTTTGCCGCACGGAGTAGACTTGCAGATCGGACCCTGTTATGATTTTGACAGCTTCCACACTAGGCTGCTTCCGCGCACCATAGCGGAATATGGTTCCACAGGTCTTGTTCTTACAGCTCAGTCCCCGGGTTCCATTGTATGTGCCGCACCGGGGACACTTCCGGATTCCCCTCAATGTGGCCTTCCCCAAATCGGATAAGAAAGCTGGGACTTTAGTCCTGAGAGAGTTTGGTTCCATTTTTCACAGGTCCTAGAAAAGGCAGTAAGCCCATCAGCATGAGTACACACACACACACACACACACACACAGCACACACACACACACACACACACACAGAGTTAAAATCGCTTCTGATATTTAGTACAGAAAGGAAAACGTAAAGAAGGTATCTACTATTTCCAAATTGTACCCTCACACAGGACATCCATTTAAATCTTCTTACAAAATAAAAATGGAGGAAACTTTGCCTTTTCTGTCTCTTTCTATTTTTAAATCCTAATGTAATAATTAAAGCATTTCTCTAGATTCAATCCTATACAATAACCTAGGTTAGTTAACCTAATCTTTTTATGCACAGATGTTTAACTTGAGCAAGGATTGAAGAATGGGAAAGATGAGTTCTTTCACCCCAAAACCCAGCCTGATCCTACCTGTATCAGCTGCCAGAGCATCTGGAAAACAGTGTAACCTGAATTCGTAAGACCTAAAAGGTGTTTCATGAGTCTGTGATGATCACAGAGGACAGGCGAAGACAATCATCTGCAGAGTAAGTGACACTGCTTAACTCAAGGTCTTCTGAAGTTTGAACTCTGTGATGTAACAATGCAGACATTCTGCCTCCTCCTTCTGGGCCAACCAATGACAAAGCTCATGCCCAGCGTTCCACAAAGAAGATTCCCACTGCCCTAAGTGGAGATTCTGGCAGTCTATAAGTAAAACAAGAAAAAACATTAAAGTTATACAAAGATAGACTGATTCTTTCCTCTTAGAAAAGGAGAGACTGCTTTCACAAGTGTTTGAGAAATATTTGATAGAAATTGTTATGGTAATGGTGGTTTTATACTTCCAGTTGCAAAAAGGTAAAACAGTGCTAATGTCATTACAGAGTTATCAAGAACACCTAGAGCCAAAGTATATAATTGGTCACTCATCCTTCCTAATAGTAATGCATTACATCTTCAGAGCACTTTATGCTTTTCAAAGTGCTTTCACACTCATTATTTCATCAGAACCTCGCATTTATACCTCATTTGGGCCAAATAACAATTGCTTTCCACATGAAAATTAAAAAGTTAAGTAACTTGCCTGAGGCCATCCAGCAAAATCAGCAATGATGCTTCCACTGACTCAGTGTCTGCTAAAAAGTATGCATCTCTGGAAGGGAGGGCATAGCTCAGCACTAGAGCATGTGCCTAGCATGGCATGAGGTCCTGGGTGCATTTCCCAGTACTTCAATTAAAAATAAATATGTAAATAAATAAATAGGGAGTTCAAGATTTGCAGATACTAACTACTATATATAAAATAAACAAGTTTATACTGTATAGCACAGGGAACTATATTCAATATCTTGTAGTAACCTATAATGAAGAAGAATATGAAGATGAATATATATATGTATATGTGACTGAACAATTAGGCTGTACACCAGAAATTGACATAACATTGTAAACTGACTATACTTCAATTAAAAAAAATTAGTAACTGGGGAAAAAAAAAAACCTAATTACCTCCCCCCAAAACAAAGAGTATGAGTCTCTGCTTTTGATTTTCCCACTAATATCATGAAAATTTTCAAACATATAAAAAACAGAATTAGACAGTGAATCTTCACATACCCACCCACGAGATTCTACAATTAACAGTCTACTATATTTGCTTTATTCCACCATTAAAATTTTACTATATTTGCTTTGTTACACATCAAGTTATCTATCCCTTTCTCCATCGGTCCCTTTCATATTTTGATGCATTTCAAAGTTGCAGGTATCAGGTCAGCATGCATGTTATTAAGTAAAGTTTAGTATTTTTAACACTTTGTAAAAAGGTAAATCCACCTGTAATTTTGAAATAGGGTGTTAGCTTTGCTTTTCCCACCCTGACCCTGGGCGGTGGGTCTTGATAAAAGAAATATTTTCCCTACACATCTTCTATAGTCCACTGGTTAACAAATTGGAAAGTGCCAACAAGACAGTCTAAGAATGCCCACTTTTTCAGTGTTGCTATGAACTAATCCCCCAACTGTAATATCTGCTGAGTGACTAAAGCTTTGTGAAATATGATCTATAGCAGGGTTTCTCCACCTTGGCACTACCGACATTTAGGGCTGGATAACTCTTTGTCATGGGGGGCCATCCTACGCATTGCAGGATTTTTAGTAGAATCCCTGGTCTCTACCCACCAGATGCAGTCAACACCCCCTTTCTGTTATAAAAAAACAAAAATGTCCAGATATTGCTAGATGCCCTTGTGAGGGCAAAATTACCTGTTAGAAAACATTTACTAATCTACTGAAGCATTTTGCTGTACACCTGAAACTAACATATTGTAAGTCAACTAGAGTTCAATTAAAAACAAAATGAAACGTTGATCTAGAGACATTGGCCTGTTCACACAGCATTTCCTTCTCAGGTCAACAAACTTCTTTTAGTAGGTCTTCTCTCTCATTCAGCTCTACCTGGGTTCTCAGGAGAGAATGTTCCAAAGTCAGTTATCTCTATGACCACGTCTTTTAACTTCTGAGCTTCAGATTGTTTTCTATGTATATCCCAGTTTTAAAATTACACTGATGGGGACCGGGGTCCGGTGCGGAGAGCCCTTCGTCCTGGGACACGGGGCGCGGCCAGAAAGGCGGCCGCCCCCTCGCCCGTCAGGCACCGCACATTCGTGGGGAACCTGGTGCTAAACCATCCGTAGACAACCTGCTTCTGGGTCGGGGTTTCATATGTAGCAGAGCAGCTCCCTCGCTGTGATCTATTGAAAGTCAGCCCTCGACACGAGGGTTTGTAGAAAAAAAGAAAGAAAATTTTATTTTTAAAACACAAAATAGAATAAAATTACACTGATGATCATGATTTACATAACCTTAAAGTGGAAAAAAGAACAATTTTACTCATTAAGGGAAGAACCGTTTGCCAATTTTATGGTGAAGCGTAAAGATGCTATAGTTTTAGCATCATCATGGGAATTCTACTCTTTCCCCTTATCTTTTCTTTTATCTGTTTATTATGCTCTGTAGAGGGCAATTTGTTAGTATCTTTCAAAACTACGAATGCACATTAAAAAACTTCAATTTTGAAATAATTTTAGGTTTATATAAAAGGTACAAAGATAGTATAGAGCGTCTCTGTATACCCTTTACCTCGCTTCCCCAAATGTTCACACTTTACATAACCAAGGGACATTTGTCAAAACTAAGGTTTTAACATTGATAAACTGTTAACCCTACTACAGACTTAAATTTTACCAGTTTTTCCATTAATGCCCTTTTTTTAAAGAATAAACTTTTTATTTTAGAATAACTTCACATTATCAGAAAAGTTGCAAAGATAGAACACAGAGTTCCCAGATAACTTTCACTCAGTTTCCCCTAATATTTACACATCATATATTACCATGGGACATTTGTCAAAACTAAGAAACCAACATTAGTACATATTATTAGCTAAACTCTAAACTTTGTCCTTCTTCTGTCTCAGGATGCAATCCAAGATACCACATTGCATTTAGTCCTCATGTCTCCTTAGTCTTCCTGGATCTGTGAATTTGTCTTTCCTTGTTTCTCATAATCTTGATCACTTTGAAGAGTCAGGTATTTTATAGAATGTCCCTCAATTTGGGCTCGTCTGATGTTTCCTCTGCATATTCCTTTTGACCCAGTAATTCCACTAATAAGAATTTATCTTACAGATTTACTCCTATGTGAAATGAGAAACATGTACGGTTATTCATTTGAACTTTTTTTCATTGATCATTTTTATAACAGCAAAACATTAGAACAAACCTAATGTCCATCAAGAAGGAACTGGTTAAATTAATTATTGTATAATTGTATAATGGATTATTTTCCAAAAAATAAAATAATTTTCACAGCTGCTTAAAAAAAAGACTAAGGAAGTTCTTTACTTATTGACCGTTCAGATCTTTAGGAAATGTTAAGTGGAAAAACAAAGTCAGAACAGCATGAGGGGGCGGTATAGCTTAAATGGTAGAGCATATGCTTAGCATGCATGAGGTCCTGGGTTTAAAGCCCTGGTACCGCCATTAAAAATAAATAAACCTAATTACCTTCTCCCTGCCAAAAAAACAAAAACAAAAACAATAATAAGTAAAAATAAATCAATAAAATATTTTGGTGGAAGGTATAGCTCAAGTGGTAGAGCACATGTTTAGCATGCTTGAGGTCCTGGGTTCAATCCCTGGTACCTGCTCTAAAAATAAATAAATAAATAGACCTAATTATCTACCCCCACAAAAAAATTAATAAGTAGAATAGCATGTATAATATGCTGTAACCTGTATAAAAGGAAGGAGGAAACAGGAAACAAATATATTTGTATGAGCTTATAAATGTAATACATTTAAAAAAAACCTTTAAAAATTTCACATAGTCTAACCACCTCTACCACTGGATTTTTAGTTTTAGACAGTGCTGCAATGAACATTCTAAACACTGACCTTAGTACATAAATGCAAGTATTTCAGTAGAAAAGATTTGGAACATTGCTTCTAGTGGGTTGTTTTTGTGGGGTACAGAGTAAGATTATATTGGGAGGAAAGGGTTCCACTTCTAAAAGTGTTTGAAAAGCACATCGGTGATTTTAAGGAGGGTATAGCTCAAGGTAGAGGTCCTGGGTTCAATCCCCAGTACTTCCTCTAAAAATAAATAAATAAATAAACCTCATTACCTACCCCCTCCAAAAAAAAAAAAAAGTGAATAGGGGAGGGGAATCCAAATAATTTAATCAATAAAGTAATTTATTAAAATTATACAAAAGGAAAATTTAAGGGCAAAATTATCATTAAATATATCTTAATTTATCCTATCTCACTTTCTATACTTAAATTCCAGGCAGATAAAACATTCCAATACAATGTTAACACAGTAGAATAAAAAAGACAGGAATTTAAAAAAAATACACTTTTAAACGGTATCAGAATGAGGATGGCCTAAATGACACAAAACCCAGAATCCAGAAAATACTGATTAATTATTTTCCTGACTGTATCAGCAGGCTTTTTTTTTTAACTTCTTTATTGAGGTTTATTTTACATATCACAAAATTCACCCATTTTAAGTGTACAGTTAAATATTATTTATAGTCATAATGAATTATAATTGCTAATAAATTCTTAAATTTATAGAGTTGGGCGTCCATCACTATAAGAAAGTTTTAGAACACTTCCATCACCCCAAAAAGGTCCCTCTTGCTTCTGCAGTCATTCATCATTCCCATGCATAGGGAGTCACTAATTTGCTTCCCATCTCTATAGATTTACCTTTCCTGGACATTTTATATATATGGAATCATACCATAAATGGCCTTTTGTGTCTGGCTTCTTTCAGTTAATATAATGTTTTTGAGATTCAGCCACATTGTAGCATGCATCAGTACTTCATTCCTTTATATTGCTACATAATATTCCATTGTATGGATATACCATTTTGTTTATCCATTTACCATCTTATAGATATCTGGACTGTTTCCAATTCAGGGCTATCATGAAAGATACTGTTGAGAAAATTAACATGCAAGTCTTTGTGTAAACAAATGTCTTCATCTCTTGGGTAGATATTTAGAAGCGGAATTGCTGGGTCATATGGTAAGTTTACATGTGACTTTTAAAGAAATAGCCAAACTGTTCTCCAAAGTGACCGCACCATTTTACATTTGCACCAGCAGCATAAGAGCGTTCCTTTTTCTCCATTTCCTGGCCAACACGTGTTATTGTCTCCTTGGTTACGGCCATTTTATTATAGTGGGTGCGAAATAGTATCTCATTTTGTTTTAAACTGCATTTCCTTAATGAATAATGATGTTGCCAACATTTCATATGCTTATTTAGCCATATGTCCATCTCTTTAGGGAAATAACTATTCAAATATTTGGCCCATTTTAAAATTAAGACTGATTATATTTGATTACATAAAAATGAAATCTTTTTGCATGGAAAAAAGTATCCTAAACTAAGCCCAAAGATGAAAACAAACTGAGCAACAAAACTAGTGCAAGTCTTGTATGCGGAAAACTACTAACCATAATTGTAAGAAATTAAAGAGTTAAAAAAAAGGAAAGACAGCTCATGTTCTTGGACCAGAAGACTTAGTATTGTTAAGATGGCGCTATTCCCCCATGATGTACACATACAGTGTAATCTCTACCAAAACTTCACATACCTTTTTTGCAGAAACTGACAAGATGATCCTGAAATTCTTACAGAAATGCAAGGGACCTGGTAGAACCAAAACAATCTTGAGAAAGAACAAAATAGAAGGACTCATACTTCCTTATTTCAAAAGTTACTACAAAGCAAATTCAGACATTGTGGACAGAGGAAGACAAACGCTGTACGATATCGTTTATATGTAGAACCTAAAAAAGCCAGACTCAGAAATGGAATGGTGGTTGCCAGGGGCTCGAGGGTTGGAGAAATGGAGAGATGTTAGTGAAAGGGTACAAACTTCTTGTTATAAGAAGAATAAGTTCTGGGGGTCTAATGTACAGAATGGTGATTATTGTTAATAATACTGTATTATGTATTTGAAAGTTGCTAAGAGTAGATCTTAAATGTTCTTAACCACAAAAGAAATGGTAATTATGTGATGTGATGGAGGTGTTAGCTAATGCTATGGTGGTAATCATTTTGCAATATATAAGACTATCAAATGAACATCTTGTATACTTTAAACTTACACAATGTTAAATGTCAATCACATCTTAATAAAGCTGGGGGATAGACAATGTGACATTAGACATACAGATAGATAAACAGAGCAATGAAATTGGATTGAAAGTTCAAAAGTAAACCCTCACATTTATGGTCAACTGATGTTCAACAAGGATGCCAAGATCACTTAAAGGTGAGAGAATACTCCTAGCAACAAATGGTGCAGGGACAACCGAATAGCCATGTGCTATTCTGAATGAAATTGACTCCTGCCTCATACTGTATATAAAAATTCACTCAAAGTGGACCATAAACATAAATGTAAGAGCTAAAAATATAAAATGCTTAGAAAAGAACGGGTGCAAATCTTCGTGACCTTGAATTAGGCAATGGTTTCTTAGATATGACACCAAAAGCAAGAGTGACAAAAGAAAAAAATAGAAAAACTGGTCTTCATCAAAATTAAAAACATTTGTGCTTCAAAGGCACATCAAGGAAGTTAAAAGACAACCCACAGAATGGGAGAAAATACTTACAAGTCATATATATGATAAGGGACTTGTATCTAGAATACGTAAAAAACACATAAGTTAACAATAAAAAGACAAATAACCCAATTTAATAATGGGCAAATGAGTTGAATGGATATTTCTCCAAAGAAGATATACAAATAGCCAATAAACACTTGAAAAGATGTTCAACATCATGTCATTAGGGAACTGCAAATAAAAAATGTCAAGATGCCACTTCAAAGCTATTAAGATGACTGAAAAAAGACAGACAGTAACAAATTTTAGCATGGATATAGAAAAATTGGAACCGACATACATTGTTGCGATATTGTAAAATGGTGCAGCCACTTTGGAAAATTGACGGTTCTTCAAAATGTTAAACAGTGTTACCATATGAATCCCAGGAGAATATATATATATACACATACACACACACACACATATATTATACACCCAAAGGAATTGAAAACAAAAATTTGTACATGATGTTCACTGTAGTAGTAAGATTCATAAATGTCAGAAAGATTCAGTTCAAATGTCCATCAACTGATGAATGGATAAACAAAATGTGGTATATCCAAACAACAGAATATTATTTGGCCATAAAAGGGAATGAAGTTCTGATACATGGTACAACATGAATGAATGAGACTTGATATATTATGGTAAGTGAAAGAAGTCAGACCCCAAAAGCCATACATTGTATGATTACATTTAAGTGAAATATCCAGAATAAGCAAATTAATAGAGACAGAAAGATAAGGGATTTCCAGGGGCTGGAAGGAAAGGGGGAATTGGGAGTGATTGCTAATGAGCATGAGATTTCTTTTTGGGGTGATGAAATGTTGCACAACTCTGTGAATATACTATAAAACACCTTTAAAAGGGTGACTTTTATGTTAGGTGATTTATGTTTCAATAAATCTGTCATTAAAAATAGAGGGAAATATTTGGAATGCAAATAACAAAGGGCTAATTTCTTAAAATAAAAATGTTTATAGATCAGTAAGAAAAAAGAAGCAAACCCACTAGAAAAGCAACCACAGGCATGAAAGGACAGGTTATGAAAGAGAAAAAAGAAAAATGATTTTGAACATCCACAATTCAACTTGACAATGAGCAAGAGGCAAATTAAAACAAGACTTTGGCAAAGTGACAAAAAAGACAAATGTTATCACACGAGGATGTAGAGAAATAAGCACTGGACATTGTTGGTGGGAGTGCAACATCGTTTTTAAAGGGATGTAAATAAAATAAATGTAAAACACACACTTTGACTTAGCGATTCCACTTTTAAGATTTCATGAGTTCTATTCTCATATGTACACAAAATATGTACAGGGGTACTCCATGCAAGGCTGTCCATAACTGCGCTAAGAACTGACCAAATAAACCATGGTGTAACCATACAATAGGTTACTATAATGACTTACGCTATTATGTGCTACTTAAAAAGAATCAGATCTATATGTATTGATAAGGAACAAGTATCACGATAAACTGTGGAGTTAAAAAAGGCATAGTACCTTATGTATAATGTGATAGTCTTGGTTTCAAAAAGAGAAAAGATAGGGAAGACACACACATACAGAATACATTGCCTCAGAAGCGACTGAGGGCTTGGTAAACAGAAAGTGGGTATATTTCAGTTTTGCACGATTTGAATTTTAAACTTGTACTAGTATCACTTATTATAGATTCTACACTGAAAGCACATATAAACAAGTAACACAACTTGAAAAGAACCTAAATTTAAAATTCATATTTGAATCCTGCCTTAAAAGGGGTCTCCTCTTTCTGGCAAGTTTACTAAACAGCCGCCTCAGTCAGATTGTGTAGAGGGAATGGTGCTGGAAGATCTACCCTACGAACAGTCCCTGAGTGGGTTTTCAGCCCGGTACTGTTTGGCTGTAGAGCTATACAGTTTGATGAACGCTGTTTAATGCTTGTGAAGCACAGTAAGTGAAGAGAACGAACGATCACCATGAATAAAACACACTAACTTGCTAACGTTTACTGAGTACAATTAAGCCCTTCCCATGCATTTACTCATGTATTGATTGCTCACCACGATCCTGTGAAGCAGGTACTATTTTATCCATCTTAGAGATGAAGAAACTGGCTCAAAGAAAGTAGTGATTTGATTAATGTCCAGCCTCCGGATAATCTAACTTGGAGTTTGGAATCTGCTGGATTCCTTATCAAACTCCAAGTGAGAGGAAGGGGCAGGACTAGAAGCCAGGACTCTCAACTTCGGGGCCGGAGTGCTTCCATCTGCCCTGCGCTGCGTGGGCACAGAGAAGAATGCTGCCGCGACCATGAGGACAGGAATCTAGGTACCCCGACTGCGCGGTGCATACCTCCCACCTAGCTTCCGGGACGCGGCCCGCCCCGCGACGCGCCACCCGGGGACCTGCTTCCCGGCATCCTCCCAGAGCGACCGCTCACTTCCGGTCCTAAGTAGGCCCGAGCAGAAGCATCACCTGGCCGGCACCCTGCTCTTAGGACACGCTCTTCACCGGGATTCCTGACTCTACGCCCTTGTCCCATCGCCGCTCCCGCCTTCTGTCAACGCGGCCACTTCACCTGCCCTGCGCCCCCCAGCCCGCGGGCCCAGACCCCCAGGCTGATGACCACCCTCACCTCCTCTCTCTTCGCCTGCCGCGGCCTTTTACAAACGAGGCCAAACTCTTCGCTGTAACGACAGTCGTCATTGGTCAGAGCCGCCCACGCGTGGCGAGTGCCTGCCCACCTCAGCTCGCGCTGTCTGATGGGAGCTGTAGTCTCCTCCTCCCGGAACCGGCTGACAATTGCCGGGGAATCTGGTTGGTGGAATCTGCGCTTACCTGGCGGCTGTACCGCTCAGATTCTTTGCTGTGGCTAGAGTGCTTCTGGCCCACCCTGCTGGTATGGAAGGCACAGACACAGCTCCAGGGATTGCCATGACTGTTTCAGGCCCAAGCGAGTCCTATTTCGGAGTAGAATTCCACTGGACATAGATTCAAAAACCCTCCTTAGAATTTCCTACGTTATTAGCAGGTATTGGCTGCGATTTAAGTGCTTTGTCAAGGGGGTTTTGTCCACCAAAGTATTTGCTGTTTCTTTCACTTGTGTGTTTATATCAAGTTATCTTTTTCTCCTTAGGTACACCCTGACATATTATTTGAACATTTTCTCTTATAGTGAACTGAAATTGAGGTCTGGCCCTAGGAATCACACAGAATAAATCTAAGTACTCTTTATTGAAGATAGCTCCTGAGTACAAATGTATTAAGGGTGAGGTGCGCGCGCTTGTGTGTGTGTGTGTGTGTGTGTGTGTGTGTGGGCGCGCGCGCGCGCATGTGTATTGGAAAACTCTGGAATGAGATGCACCTTTAGCCTTCATCCTGCTGCTTATTAGTGGTGGGACTATAGGCTGATTGCCTGTCAACTGAAATAATGTGAAAAATAAAATAAAATTAAAGGGTGAGACTGTGAGTTTCAGTTTTATTCAGGGACTTGGTGAGGACCATAGTCCAAGAGACATCCTTTCAGATAGCTCTGAGGAAGTGCTCCAAAGAGGTATCGGGGGTAGTCAGCGTGTGTGTGATTTTGGAGGAGTTATGTGCCATCAAGCACACATCTTGGTAGAAGATTGCTGCAGGTCACGAGACAGAGATCTTAGTTAATGATTTTAGTGCTTTTCTAAGTTTGGGAAGATGCAAGAAATTGGGTTCATAAAATCTCCTCAAAGTATCTTAACTTTCTGAAGTCTTGTTCTGCCAGTTTTCCCAGAGCAGAGTACCTCATTCCTGATCTCCACCCTGAGCTCCTTTCAGGGTGTGTTGAAGGAAAGCAACTGCAGTGGCAAATGGCTTAATCCTTGTAGAGCTGGTTGGTGAGTGACACTGTTTAGTTGGCAAAACCTTAGTCTTCTCAACTATTAATAAGAGGAATGATCTTTTCCAGGATTAAGGTTTGTTATGTTGTTTCTTAAGCTGGAGGTAGGGGGAGAAGGGCACATTTTTTTTTTGCCAAGAAAATTTTCCCAGTTTTGTCTTTCCACTTTGATTATAAGTTTTAAAATGATCACCAGTATATCCTGGATCATCTAGATAATACTGTGGGGTTTCAGTGCCTGGCTGTGTTTATGACTGTATTACTGCAAAGTGATTATCTGAAGCAGTTGTTCTCAATTGGGAGCACTGCTATGCATTTAGTAAATGTCACGGATATTATTGAAGATTCTGCAATACACGGAAGAGCCCTTACAACCAAGGATTATCTGACCCAGAATGACAATAGTGCCACAATTGATGGACCCTGTTGTAAAGAGAAAGTGTTTAAATTTTCTTCAACAGAATTGCCCAAATATGTCCTAAGAGATCTGTGAGTTTTCAATTGAGACACATTATGTATGTCCCAGTCAGGAAGGAAGCTGTCAATCAACTGCATTCTAAAAGGTGTATCTCTTCCAAACCAGACACTCATGGTTCTTCCATTTCTTTCTGAAAGGGCCTTTGCAGAAGCACTGCCCTCATCAAAGTTCTTTCTGAGCCCTCTTCTCATAAATAGAACTCACAAAAACAAAACAAAACCTTCTCAAAACTGCATAATACTCCCAAGTTAATTTATGATACGTTAATTTTCAGTATATTAATATTTTTCACCCAGCCACTTTGCTTAATTTTCTCATCATTTTTATAGTCTTTTCTAATTGTCATAGGCTCAGAATATTAATTAGCATGGTAATAGTGGATAACCTTCTCTTCTTGACCTTAAGAATGTTTCTAGGGTTTCCCCATTTGCATAAGGCTACCATTCACTCTAGTTATATTTAGAAGAAAGATGTCTAAGTTCACAAGTACTGTTTTAAAAACTTCCTCTATTACTTTCAAAGATAAATGTTACACTTTTTCTGCAACTTGCTTTTTCACTTAATTCATTTTATTTATCTTGGGATTATTTGTGGTTCTTGAATCTAAGAATTCCTACCTTTTAACAATTCTTGAAGATCCTCAGCCATTACCTTTTTGAATAGTGCCCATCCCAAATTGTAGTCTCTCTTTATGGAATTCCAGTTTAAATGTATTTTAGATTTCTCATTCTATTCTCCACTCACTCTTCATACTTTCCACCTCTTTGTCTCTGTCCTGTTCCAACTCACTGAGTTCTTCAGCTGTATCTAATTTAGTTTGATCAGTCCAATGAAATTTTTCTAATTAAAAAATCTTTTTAATTTTAAATTTAAAAAATTTTTAAGTCCATTGAATTTTAAATTTTAGCTATTATATTTTTAATTTCTTAAGGTTCTATTAGTTCCTTGAAAAATTCTGCCTAATCACTCAATAGTCACTTCTTCCTTGCTCATATTTTTATTGCATCTTTTGTTTCTAAAGACATGAAATACAGTTACTGCATATTCAGTATGTGACTATTATGTCTAAAGTCTTTGGAGTCAAATGGACAAAGGACATGAACAGACATGTCACAGACAAGAAGCACAAATAGCCAGCTGTCATGAGAAAAAAAAAAACATTTACTTGCAATCAGGGAAATACAGTTAAAGAAATCATATTAACATGCATCAGACTGGCAAAAATAAAAGCTTCTTAACAATCAGCACTGGTAGAACAGGGGGAAATGAGTGCTTCAGGACATTACTGGTTGGAGTGTAAAATGGTACAGCTTTTTAAGAGGGCAATTTGACCATATACAATACCACTTTAACAATTTACATTTCTTTAACACATCATTCAATTCTAAGTATCCTAGAGTACACATGTGCTCACTAACTGTAGTTCCAAATTTTTTACATAAAACAGAGGTGAATGTTTTTTGTTTTGCATGTCTGAATGGGTGAATGATGGGATTTTTTTCTTTGCTGATCATTTACTTTTGTGATTTATTCATAGTTTATTGTATTGAGATTTTAAAAAAATTATTGCTTTCTTAAACCCATCCCCTCTTTCCTCTCTCCAGCCCAGTGATCTGGGAAGGCAGTCTGTACTAGTTAACTATCCTCACCTCCCATCCCTTAACCAACTGCAGTCCACATTCTGCTCCCACTACTTCACTGAAAATGCTCTTTAGTCACCAGTTACTTCCTTATTGCTAAATCCAGTGGACTTTTCCCCACACAATTTGTATTTCTTGTCTCTGCCATATTTGACATTCTTGACTGCTTCTAGTTCCTTGGATTTTTTTCCTCCTCGATCTCTGCAACATCATGGACCCTCCATATTTCTCCCACCTGTCAGGCAGCTCTTCCTCATTCTCCTTCTCTGTCTCTGCCCTCTTCAAAACTGATGCACCCAAGAGCTGTCTTCACTTTTCTCTCTAGTGTCTCTGGGTGATTACCACTCCCATGGGTTGAACTACCACCTAAATGCTGATGACTCCCATCTCTATTCCAGCCTGGATCTCCCATCTAAATTCCATATCATTACCTACTGGATATTTACCTGAATGCCACAGATGTCCAAGTCCCACATTTTGAAAGACGGAACTCATTAGCTCTCATCTTCTGCCCTCTAATTCACTTCTATCCACACTCACTTCATAAACTGCTCTTCTTCCTTTTCCCACTCCAGTTAAGCAGCCCCACCATCCATCTAACTGGTCATGCCAGGAACCTGGAAGACATCTTGACTAAAAACAAATTAGATCAATGGCTCCTAAGGACCTTTAAGATTAGAAAAAAAAAGTTCAAATTACTCAGCATGGCATAAAGACTTGGCCCTGTTTTGACCCTTCAGTTTTAGCTCGTCTCACACCCAGTACTCTAGCTGGTGGTACTATCAGCATATGGTAGAAAGCCATTTGGTTAAAACAGGATTGAGATAATTGACTGGTTAATTCAACAAACTTGTAACGAGCACCTATTCTTTATTACCTACTGGGTACATACAGCATTGAAGAAAACAGTCACCAGCTTCTACGTTAGTGAGGAACACTGCTTTTAAAGATGTAATCGCACAAAAAACACATAATTTAAAATCATGACAAATGCTATATAAGATGGTTTGAGAGCCTACTGATTTAGATTGTGATTAAGGAAAGAAAGGCCTTTTAGAGGAAGAGAATTGAAAGGGAGAGTTGAAGACAAAGATCAAAGGGCATTCAGGAGGCAGGGCTCTGCAATGAGATCTGGGTCCCCAATCCACACTTCTTTGCCTTGCTTTGTGAAATATTCCGCCTTTGCTAATTGGCTTTGTCAATAGAGGGTACTGGGGGAATAATGCAAGTTGATAGTGACAGGAAGGCACTTCCCTTATGGGTTCTGGTTCTCTTTTTATTCAGTGTGGGAGCCAGTGGATCAGTGTGCAGAAGACCCAATGACACTCCCAGTGGTTCTCGTGACCTGCCCTAGCTGCACCCTCAGGCCACACTTCCCCACCTGCAGCTGCTTCCACAGCAGCTTTGGCTGCACCACCTGTGACACGCTCTAGGATTGACAGAGAAAATACAGGACACCCAGTTAAATCTGGATTTCAGTTTACCAAGTAATCATTTAAGTATGTTTCATGCAACATTTGGGATTGTTTTCACTTCCTAATTCTGGCAATCCAAGCTTCCCAACCTGATAGAGCATTTCTATAGATCACTTCCACCCAGCCCACCCATCTCTGGCAATGGTAGGCAGCTTCTAAGGACCACTCTCAGGCATATTTCTTCATCAGGCTGCACCTTCTGTGGTAACCAAGCCCGCTTTGAAGAGGTCAGAAAGTCAGTGCTCTCCAGAACCCTTAGTTCCTGCGTTGTCCTCTCTGTCCTTAAGCTGCTTTACTTTGCAACTGCAACTTCTGGATCCCTTTTAGTAGTTAACCATATTTTCCTATTTAACTATTTATGCTAAAATTATTTATGTTAAAATATTTGTTAATATTTATATTAAAATTTCCCTTTTCAAAGTTTGCATTGGTTTCTGCCTCCTGACCGGACCCTGGCTGATATAAAATGTTTACTTCTTCAAGAAACTGAAAGATGAGAGTAGAAAAGAAAAGGGATTATGGGAGAGTGTAAAATGGCTTGCTGTGAAACCAGGTAAATACAGACTGCACTGCAGAAGGCACTGCAGGTCACTTTAGAGATTTTAGATTACATCCCAAATGAAGTCTGACTTTCAAGCAGGGAAGTGTCATGATCAGGTTTACATGGATAAAAGACTCCTTTGGGTTTCTGATTCTGGTAGAAATCTCAGCAGCCTGGTTTTGGATCTTTCCATTTCTTTTGGAAACCATAGGGAACAAGGAAAACATGACCACTGACTCCCACAAACAGCATCTTAAATGAAACTAGCGAGGCAGAGAAAACTTACACATTTCACATTGAGTGGAAGTGTGGTACTGGATGGGAGGCCAATTGAGTGCTGTGGGTGAAAAATAGGGAGTGAGGAGGGGGCTGGTGGTGGCAGATCTCATGAATCACCAGCAAATATTCACTCTGAGAAGACAGCCAGATCCTGAGTGGAGCCTGCTGTGGGCAGGACCACACAAGTGTATGAGTGCTGGGAGAGGCAGGGAAGGAAGGTGCATGAAGTGCCGACAGGGTCCAGAGGTGATGGCTTTCAGAAAGCAAGTTGGGGATGTCCTTGAAGACAGGAGTTAGGTCCCTTAATGTAGGAGATGAAGGAACCAAAGGAGGTCAGAGCTGGTACAGAACTTCTGAACAAGGTCACACCCCAGGGAGGACCCTTAGCTATACTTCTAATGAGACAGTTCACTGTAGCCAGAGGAGGGAGGTGAGAACCCTGGACAGGGTCTTTCTCCTTCATCCTCTTGCTGGTGCTCCAGGAAAGTCCAGTTGTTTCAAATATGAGTAGGTAGAAAGGAATAAGCACAGCATTTATACAAAGATACAGTAACTAAAAATAAAGATAGTAAAACTTACCTAGAGTTTTCTTGGAGATAACTCACAAGGAAAATGTTCCCACAAAGCAGCTGAAAATAATATACCAACATTCCAATGTGAATTTTAAAAATATAATGAAGTAAATGCAGCTCTAAGAAATACAAGAATTCAGGGAAGAGATGAAGTGAAACAGAAACTGGTAGAATTTAGGAAAACAGAAATCCAACATACAATTGGAGTTGCCAAAGAAAACCCAAGCAGTGGAATCGTACAAATATTTATGGATATAATTCAGGAAAACTTATGAAATACTGTCTCAGTGCATGTACTTAGCTCAGGGAGTGTTTCCTTTCTCATACAGTGTTTTCCCTGACAATTGCCTCTTCCCATATGCCTGATTTTCTTCTGGCATTTAATCTTCTCACATTCCCCATTGTTCTGTAAAATGTCCCACAATACAATTATCTACACAGCTCAAGCCGTCACATAATCCTAAGTCTAGCCCTCTGATCATCAGTCCGGACTGGTGGCCAGCTGCTTTTTGGTGGGGACCCTCAAATGTCAGCATCTGTCTTTCCTCTCAAGAGTTGCTTAGTTTTTCCACAGTGGGATCCTCTAAACCCTGCCTGGTGTGTGTAAGTGTGGCTGTTGGTATTCTAGTGCTGTGCATGGCTAAGGAGCTAGGGATCTCATTTATCTAGTATGTAAAACTGTGCTTAATTCCTGTTTTTTGGGTACCATCTCATCCTAGTCTAGTAACCCTGAGTCAGACATCGTTTTCCTTTTTCAGTTGAATTACTATCAGGATAACTTCAGCCTCCAACTTTAGAGGCCACAGCATACAGTCCTGTTCAACTGAGACACATTCATGTCAAGGCTCTTAAATTAAGATTTGTTTTGGAGGTATGTTCTTCAAGTTCTTAACAGTCAAAACGCAGTGACTGAAAAAATACAATAACTCCCTACCGAAAAAAAAGATTTTGTTTTTAGAAATCACCACTCTTTCATTGAAAGGGTTTCCTTTTTATTTCCTATAAACACACTTTATTTTTCTAATTTAGTTGTAACCTCAAGAGCACCCTACAGCTTAGTGAACCTAACTCTCTTTGTGGATCCAATCTAGTCCTTATCAACCGCCTTCTCAACAGTAGCAGAACTCTAACCACATACGAAAGGAAGATGAGCAAACACAGGGCCAAAACCGAAGGATACAACTAGAAATGTGAATCTCATTTTCAACAGGGAGGTAATACCAACGAGGAAAATGAGACCCAGATTTCATGAGTTAAATCTGCAGCAGTTCTTTGTGGGATTAAACAGTAACCCAATGTAAACCATGGTTTCTGGAATAAGATTTTAAAAAGATTAACAAATAAATACCTGGGTGGATGTAACAATATTTATGGCTAGACCAAAAAGAAAAAAAATCTCTCACACACAATAATCACTGCAAGAAGATCCCAAAGGTTATACAAAACATAAAGGAACTTTAATATCCAAATAGTCAGGGCAACGAATACTGGATAGTGACCCATTAAGTAGGAACCACTCTGGGTTCTTTACAGTACCAGATGTATTTTAAAGTAAAATCTGAATGCATCTTGCAGAGAATGAAATCATTTTTAAAACTTTAATTTCCTTACCTGATAACTAGTGACAGTTTGATTTTTAGACTGTAAATTTTTAAATGATTTGTTTTAACACTAAGAGTTAAGATTTAAAGCAAAGTTGGCAATGTTCCTGAAATGTGAATTTGTTCAGTAGTAAACCTTTGAGTAATACTACTTTCTTCTTAAAAAGTAGTCATGTACATTTTAAGATTTGTGCAATAAGAAAATATTGGCTAATAAAAAGTGTTAATACTTGAAAACAGTCAAAATGAAAGAAAAACTATACTTTTGCTTAGATTATTTATGCCCAAATAATTTATCCTGCAGTCCATCCATAGATGTATAGGACATAAGATATTTTTGAGTAAGAGGAAAATAATGAGGGTCCTAAAATAGGAACATAAACCAGAAGAATCTAAAAACAGCATCCTGTTATTTTATTTTTTTGAGTATTTCATTTAAGATGCTTTTGGTTGCATGCCCTGATCTGTAGAAGTTAACAAGGAAATAAAATTTCCAAGTGTTGAAAAAATTTACTCATCTTCCATAAAGCAACTTTTAATGTATTAACACTTAAAATACACAGTGACTTAATGAAACATCAGTACAACTGCATAGAATTGAGCTCCAGAGAATTATACACTTAGGAACTGTCTTTCCTGGGCTCTGGTTTACAAGAGTCTTGGCTTAAAGACCAGCTTAGAGTCATTTGCTCCTACCTGGAAGATACAGGCCAGGGAACTCTTAAGATTTCACAGGCCTTCTATTCCTAAATAAAATGCTAGGAGCTCTCGGAAGGTCTTAAAAAAACAATCAGCCATCCAAATATGTATACTGAGGACCCTTCCCCTTTGTGAGTCAGAGAGTTTGTGACTTTCACTGAAAACAAAACAAAACAAAATCTCCCACAACTCTTCTAAGAGACTGCAAAATGTACTAGAAATTTCAAAACTAGAACAATGCCATCAAAGATTAAACCTCTTAATGCTCGGAGCCACCCCAAAATAATAAAATTGGGAACTCCAGGAAAACAGGTACCAAAAGAATCAAAGTAATGATTGCACTGAGGACTCTCCTCTTTGAAGGCTGTTTAAGGAGGTAGGATTTCAAGGGTTTTTTTGTTTATCTTTTGGCCTCTGAACATTTAAAAAAATGTTTTGCCCGGCTGGTCATTCAGGCACACTTTGGAGTTCACAGTGAACCCCAAGCCTGACATAAGGATATTCTACAGTTTCATAGCTATCATTTGTACATATTAAGTTGATTTACTCTTTTTGAGTAAATATAACTAGAAAATGGCAAATTAATATATTCATTTACATACAACTTTGTGTCTCAAAATTCTTGAAAAACAAGAGCAGATGATTTTGTATTCAAAGACTACCAAAGTGTGTACTTGATATTCACATGCAAACAAAACTTTATAAATCTCCTGTCAACTCTGCATGATGCCTTTAAGGAGGAAATGACAAAGTTTGCTAACTGTGCAAAATACTAAATTGCTAAGACATTTTACATAATGAAATAACACATGTAAATGTAGAACTTGACACATGAAATTAACATGGGTTCATAAGAACTTATCACATTTCAGAGATTTTCTTTAGTAACAAGTTTTTGTTTTTATATTTCCTGGTACACAGTGAAGTTTATCACAGAAGATAAAAACCCTTTTAAACAAATTCAACAGGGAATTCTTGAGGCACCTTCTCATATAAAACACAAGATGAATGCAATTATCAATCCATCTGAGAAAAGTTTTCAACCTAACTGAACATCATTTTTCCCAGTTATACTTTACAGAACTTTAATAAGGCAAGACAAATTTATGAAAAAATGTAGATACAAAAATGTTGTAAACTAATAATTTATATTAAAAAACCCCAAAGGGAAAACAGTGGAGATGGGACAGTTTAAACAATGTCTTTTTCAAAACAAAACAAAACAAAACAAAAAAACTCTAAAACAGAATTGTGCATAAGCTGAAGATTACAAAAAACTTCTAGACTCTGCACAGTTTTGGTTTTTCTTTTTTCTAACATCTTTATATTACATGTTTTAAATCACATCAGGAATGCAAACTAGAACTGCACACTACTTCAGTGGAAAAAAGTTCAACATTGTGCAATTTTCTGCCTCAATTTTAAAAAAGTGGCAGCAATCCCTGCATTTGTATTTGAAACAAGGATCTGAGAAACTTTATCAAAAAAGGTAATGAAGGCAAAAATTGGCAGACATCCAGCATTTTGTTTCTTTTTAAAACAATGTGGATGGTAAGTAATTTCATGATTAAAAAATGAATCTTTTAAATAAATACATTGTATCTGACATTTGCACTGACTGATTTGATAAATCTTTAAGTAAACAACGGCTTTACTACACTTCCTGTAGCCTCAAGCCACTGGCTTTAGATTCTGGAGTCCTTTTTCACTGGGTTTCATACCCTGCCACTCGATACCCTGCAGGCTGATTAGGCATCATGCTGCCATTCTGCCCTGGAGGCGGCTGCACTCCATAATTTGGTCCCATCCACGGTGCAGAAGACTGTGTCTGACTGGTGGAGAATGTGAAAGAAGAGGGGAAGGGAAATCCACCGATTAACAAATGACACACATAGGGAAATACCCTTTTTCTTAAGCCCAGATATAAGAATAATTGTTATGCCAGGAAAAGCAAAGGCAAAAGTTTTTCTTTTAAAAATAAGCATCCTCATAGCTTTAATTTGTACAGTTTAATTTTGTTAGTTTAATTATAGCTAAGAAATTGCTCTTAATCTATAAACATTTATTCTCTTTGAACTCAGAAAAAAACTAATCTCTAATCCCAGAAAAGAAAAGTGTCTATCTGGGGTTGGCCATATATTGAACAAGCCAGTACCTGAAAGAAATCTGATCATCTAGTATGATAAGGACTTGTACTTACTTATATTACTCAAAGAAGAAATTAAAATAATTATTAACATATGTAAGGTCACACATTTTTTCAACATTACAAGATTCCTTTTAAATAAAAACTGCAAAGTGTTTTTTTAAATTTCCAGTTTGTTTTTCAGAAATTTAACTAAAACTGCATAATTCAGTATATATAAAGAAGCTTCCATATAACAATGTATGAATAAACCTTTTTGCACAGAAAAAAAGCATAATGAATAAAGCAACTAGCATCAAAGTAACTGTATCCAAGAATAGCTAATACCATTAGTCACATACAAAGCTTAGCAACTATTAAGTTCTTATTTTCTTAAATATAGTTGATTAATTACCAAGCATTACCAAAATTCTTGTAACACTGGTTATAATTCAAGGCAACGTATTTCTAGGCAAATCAAAAAAATTTCTTTTCAATTTATTTATTATTGTGTTATTTAATTATTTTATTTTGGCAGGGGGTGGAGGAGGTAATTAGGTTTATTTATTTTTAGAGGAGGTACTGGGGAGTGAACCCAGAACCTCATGCATGCTAAGTATGTGCTCTACCACTTGAGCTATACCTTCCACCCCTAGGCAAATTTTTAAAGACAAACACTTAAAACTGTAAAGCAGAAACCTCTAAGTCCTTCAAAGGCTATAGTTTAGACAGAGGGCCACATTGCCTACTAATTACTTAAAATCTCTTCCTAAGTTCTTGACATTTTCAAAAGCTAATAATAAAGGAAAAGAACAATTATGCTTACTTAAATCCCTGCTGATTCCACGCCTGGCCATACATTCCATAGGCAGGTACTTGCCAACCATTAGGCATATACTGGCCAATTTGCTGTGCATTTCCATACCACTGGCCCCACTGGCCGTAAGCTTGTGGATAGCCAATTTGATTCTGCTATTAAGTAAAATTATAACACATAATTTAATATTATTTGAAGTTAGAGGTACATACACAGTCCTAATTTACCACAAATATAGAGCCATAACACATAGGGCCATCATTACAAGTAAAATTAAAGGATAAACAAGTTTATAAAGTCACTGGTTAAAAAAGAAAAAAGTGAGGTTATACTGCTTTAACTCTACACGAGGCTCTAAATAGCATACTCTTTTTAAGGCAGTAAGTAATGCCCTAGGGATAAATATGAAACTCAATATAATGTTTAAATGTCTTGTAACCTATCCACGACTGTTTCCTTTAGGTAGGGAAGAGATAAAGATTACTTATTCCTATACACAATTTACTTAAGAAACATATAGTTTAGGATTTTATTCCTCCTATCTTGGTGCTCCATTTACAATTTCCTCATAGAAATCTTTGTGGGATCAAGTCTGAATCAGTAAAAGCTCCCTGGAAAAACAAAGGCAGCAAAATCTGGAAGAAAATACCAAGGTTCTAGATATATTTATGGCTTCTATTTCCCACTGAACCAAGCATGCTTGTGAGTTCTCCAAATAGCATGTGAATAAATCTACCAAGTATTAGAAAAATTTAATACCCTGTTAGGTTTGTTGGAGCATTTTAAAATCCTCTCTGTGAGCATGGGTCAATTGAGGCGGTCACATTCATCATGTCACCACTGCCATCCATGAACCACCACTCTGGAACTATAATACATGTAGGAAGAGCCCTTATATACTATGATTTTAGCTAGAAACATTACTAAGGATTATCAGCAATTTCATTGAAAAATACCTATTCGCCCAGCAACTACTTGGCAAAGTCAAGAACCCTCTCACCTGTTGCACGGGATTTATCATATCAAGAGTCTCTTTGCCCCAGTAGCATTTCACAACATGGCCTTCAATGGTAGTGCCGTTAACAGAAACAATCGCATGTGCTGCACTTTCATGGGAATTGAACCTATTGGAAGTAATATTAAGAATTAGCAATATAAACCGTTTAAAATACTTATGAATAAAATCTATTTTAAAAAGCCAAACTGAGCCTGAGGTAAAACAGGCAGTTTATATAAAAGAACCAATAAAATGGCGTATTTTTGTTGCTATTTTTTCCCCAAAGATCTTGTAGTTCTGGAGAAAACTTTTTTTTTTTAATAGAGAATGTTTTATTTGCCTTGTGTTGCAAGGAGGGAGCTATTAAAAAAGTGGCAAATATGATAAATGCTAGAGAAATCTCTATTTCTTTAAAACCAAAGTAAATTTTAAAGGAAACCACTAAGTTAAATGTTTAAAAATGATTTGAGGGCAAAAGTTTTTTTTTTTTATTTAAAAAACCACCCCTACCGAACAAATGAATATCCTTTATCTGGAAAGACTCGAATTTCCATTATTTGTCCAAATGGTGAAAAAGTCTGACGCATCAGTTGTTCTGTTAGACAAAAACAAAAACAAACCACACTAAATTATATTAAAATCCTAAAAATATTAAGCCTTTCAATTAAAAAATTAATCTCAAAATGCCACACAGATAAAGCCCTCGTACCTGTTAGCCCAGAAGTGACACCTCCACAATATACAGTACAGTTGCTTGGACTAGACTGATTTACGACCTCATCATATGATAGCTGTTTGGTGTTTGCTAGGAAGAGAAAGTTTAATATTCTTAATTCATTAAATAAAATGTTCAGAGAGAGGAAAGCAACATTAACTACACTACTGTAATGGTAATATTTACCTTGATCAAAACGCTTATTTAATACATATTACATTTGATTGATTAAACATTCCCCAAGAATGTCTAAAAAATTACTCAGTATTCTCTATTTAATAGGAGACTTTAGAGATATTATTTGTTATTTATAATTACAAAAATGAAAACTAAGTACATTTTTGAATAGTAGTCTTGATTTGCTTCTCATCTATTTCTGCAATAAGTCTCCGGGAACAGCTCTAACACTTAAAATCTAGCGTATTCTCCAAAATTCCACATTTCCTTTTCTTCTCCAATACACCTACACTCATATGTACTCTTTGGAGCTGGAGGCTTTCGGGTTGCCCAGTTAGTTCTGATTTGTCTTCCACCAAGCCACTGGCCACCCATCTGTTGAATGGCGTTTTCAGCATCCTGTTCCGCACAACATTAGAAATGACAAAGAAGCCACCATTAGTTGATGTTAAACAACTGTTAGCAGTAGAGAAAACTCATGGTTGCTTTTCACAAATGTTTTTTCAATGAAAATGCTTTGTAAAATATACAACATATAACCATTTTCCTAAAATACAATGGTGTTTTAAAATTGTCTTTTACTTCAAAATCAGACTCTGGGAATGTTAATCACCTGAAAAACTCCAGAGCCCCAAAGCCCTTATGACACAGCCATTATAAAGTTCATGTAACAACTCAGACTACTATGGGTGAAAAATCTCACTTTATACAACCCAACAAGTTTTTAATGACAGTATTTGGTTTGTCATTCATCCCACAAGTAAATACTGAACAGCTATCACATTCTAGACAGCAGGTTAAGTGCTAGGGAAACAGTGGTGGATGAGGTAGACATGGTCTCTGCTGCCACGGAGCTTATGTTCTTTTGGGGGGACAAACAAAGTAATTGTAAATGGTGGTAAATGCTAGGACAGAAACAAAAGGCTCAGAGAGACAGACTACCCATGCTGAGACATGGGCATGGGGATCTACTTCTGTCTGAAATGACATTTAAGACGAACTTGAGAGGAACAGGAGCTAGAAAAGTGTTCCAGCCAGAGGGAAAAGCACGGCAAGGTGTGTGTTAAGGCAGGAAAGGGTTTGGTACGCATCTAGATGCAGCAGGCAAAAGAAGACTAGTTTCACTGGAACCTTGTCTGCAAAAAGGAAAGGTGCCACAGGAACAAACTGAAAATTTTAAGTAAGAGATTATCATGATCTGATTTGTTGTAAGAAGGCCATTTTTAGCGCTAGGAGGAAAACAGTATGGGAAGATGCGTAGTAAAAGGAAAAAGACATTTTATAAGACTAATGCAATATCCTGATTTAAAAAAAAATGTTAGTGGCCAGGACTAGTGCAGTAGCAGTGGATGTAAAGAAGAGTCAACAGAACTGGGAGATGGGGGAGTGCACAGTAAGTAAAGGAGGAGAAGGCAGAGGTAACTTCAAGGTCCCTGATTGGACAGTAGGGAGGATAGTGCTAGCATTCATGGAAATGAGAAGACTGGAAGGGAGGAGGGGAACAGGTCTGAGGAAGAAACAAAGACCTCCATTGACACAATAAGTTTGAGACATCTGTAAGACATCCAAACGAAAAGCATTTGTTAGTAAATGTGAAGTAAATCCAGCTAGGGATATAAAATTCAGTCATGAAGAAAGACTAGAGAGAAAAAAAAAGCATCCCAGAACAGCAAAATTTGAAAACTGGGTAAAGGAGAAATCACTAGCTAAGGTGACTAAGGAGCAGCCAGTGATGAAGGAAGAAACCCACAAAAATGAACTGTGACAGAGCCAAGGAAGCAGAAATCAAGAGGCAAACTTGAAAAGAACAGTGTTGGTACAGAGCAAGAACAAAAGTCAGCTTACAGTGTACTGAGAAGTAAATGCGGTGCTGCTTTGGTCTGGAAGTGTGAAGATGCGGGCTTAACCTAGCAAAAGAACAGGGAAATTCAAGTCTAAAAGCCATTCTTGAGACATAAAAAGGAAACGCATATACTTAAAAAGAAACAAATACTGCTTACTACACTAACTAGTCTGAATTCTGTAAGACGTTTAATTACTGTTGTGGGTTGAACTGTATCCCTTAAACTGATACGAAGTTCTGTCTACCTGGTCCTATAACTGTGAATGTGACCTTATTTGGAAATAGGGTCTTGGCAGATATGTTAAGACGAGGTCATATGGGTTAGGGTGGGCCCTTATAAGAAGCGCTGTTATAAGAAGAGAAGCTGATGTGGTGACATACAGAGGGAAGAGGGCCATGTGAAGAGGAAGGCAGAGATTGGAGTGAGGCAGCTACAAGCCAAGGATACCAAGGACTGCCAGCTACCACAAGGAACTAAGAGGGAAGCAAGGATTCTTCCATAGATAGCCTTCAGAAGGAACAAGGCCATGATGACCCCTTGGTTTTGGACTGCTATCCTCCAGAACGTCAAGAAAGTTTAAGTTTCTGTTGTTGTAAGTCACTCAGCTACTTTGATACAGCAGCCTTAGGAAACAGTTACAACTACTTGTTCACAGAAGCAGCAAAAACATTTTAATGGAGTGTGTGTGTACTGTTGTGAACAGGAGATGAAGAAGTGGAAGCACAGGCAAACAGCTCCTTTGAGAAGTTTGATTCTGAATTACAACAGAAAAATGCAGATACAGATAGGGAAGGGATGTGGGGTAAAGTGTGGTTTTTAATGAGACACTAGAACATGTTTTTTGGTTGAATGGAACAGTCCAGTGAAGAGGAAAAGACTGCTGACCCAGGACAAAAGAACAGAGTACACATAATTTTACTCCATTTACAGAAAATGTTTGGAACAGGGAAATCTATACAGACAGAAAGTAGATTAATACTTGTTCAGGGCTGAGGGGAGACAGTGTAAAAGAAAAAAGATTGTGACTGCTAATGAGTATGTAGTTTCTTTTTAGGGAGACGAAAATATTCCAAAATTTTGGTGATAGCTGCATAACTTTGTGAATATTCTAAAAACTAATGAACCATTTCGTACACCTGAAATGAGTGGATTTCATGGTATATGAATTGTATCTCAATAAAGCTTTGGTGGAAAAAAAAAAGAATAAGCACACGATTTAAAGTCCTAGAAAAGGCCAGAGCAGTAGGACCCCAATCGTAAGTGATTTGGTCTTTCACAGGAAGGGCCTTTCTTACTCTGTAATAGGAGGAACAAGGCGGTGAATGCATTTTATGCAGGTTTGGCAGTTGAAAGCTGAGGGAATTCCTCTATATGACAGCTTCTATTTTCTTGGTTGAAGCATAAGGTTGTCAGCTCAGGGTGGTGGTGGAGAAAAGAGGGATATTTAAGGAGATCAAGAGGGGCATGAAACAGTTATTAAAGAACAGGAAATCAAATTTACTAGAGAAACATAGGTTTGCAAAGATAATATCATGTCCTTATATAACGTGTGTGACCATTAAACTAGAAGCAAAACCCATTGACTCAGTTTTTCTCTAGCAACATTCAGTTACTTCAGAGTAAGCAGAAAAGCTATGTTGAACCAATATTGTAGTTTGCCTAGCACACACAACCTGGGAAGAGGCAAGGGAGTCGGGGGTAACTGAAGTCAGGGACGTGGCATTTTGCAACACCTGCCAATCACATATCACAAATTTATAGACACAGAAATATAAATTTAGAAAAATTAAATTAAATCATTTACTCAAAGTTACACCTATCATATGATGGTTGTCAGGATTACAATCCAACTCTGGCTGACCTTCATACTAAATATGCATTAAATAGTGACTTTCATATAGCAGGGGTGTATATTCCATAATCTCAAGTGGTAAAAAATGAGTCCCCAGCCCACCCAAAGCCCCCAACCTACCTCCCCCAAGCAGCACATAACACTAAAACCCTACTCATCAGTCCTTTAAGGAACTCACACTAATTGTGGCTATCAGCTCACTGTATGACGTATTGTTCTACCTTTCCGAAATACTATGCTGTGATTAACAGTAAAGCTTCAAGCAGCAGCTACACTCCGGTAGTTTTTATTTTCTCATTTTGTAATTGGTAGATGGGACTTGTACATAGGAGAGCTTTTACTTTTTCACCTCTCAATATGCTTTATCAGTTGCAACTTTTCTTTTAATATATGAAATTTTCCTGATCTCTCAGGCCAACCTACTTTCTTAGAAGACATTTTCACTTCATGAGAGGAGGATGACAGCTATGCTGTGTAACACATTTAAACAATCAGACTGCAAGATGTGATGTTACTGTGCAAATAGCTGACATACAATTGCAGTGCATTCTACCTTCTTTTGCCTTAATTTACAAGCCATGTAAACATCTTTAGGGCACATTTTTTATATGAAAAGTAAAATTTGGGCAAAATGATTGCAAACTGTTATAACAAATATCTGGACAGTACGAGTTCATAGGGAGGAATAACTAGACATTAGTTTCAGTGTAAGCAGACACAGGAACTAGAAAAAAAACAAGATTTGACACTATTTGGCATAACAGCAAACATGTATTTTTTAAAAAAACTCAGAACATGGGGAAGGGAATAGCTCAAGCAGTAGAGCCCATGCTTAGCATGCACAAGGTCCTGGTTTCAATCCCCAGTACCTCCTCCAAACAAATAAAATAAACCAAGGTACCTCCCTTCCCCCCAAGAAAACTTAAAAAAATAGTTGGGAGGGACCTCAGAGGGAAATGGCACAATAAATGATGTTCATAAATTTGACCTGAAATCATCAAATCAACGATACAGTACCTATTTCAAATACTTCATTTATTAAAGTAAGAAAATCTCTTCTAGAATACATTTCAAAAAAATTTAATGGTTCATTCTAAGGCACTCTTACACAGAAAAATACAGCATTTTTGTACTTATCATCAGCAAACAACAGTCATAATACAGAGGCAATACAATAAAATCTAGGGCTAATGAAACCTCAGTGTGCACTCTAAGACTAGTGCATGTAAGTCCTCCCATCATCCACCCCTGTATTTTTGGAAGTGTGATATCTCTTGGAACTTTGAGTTATCACAGTAAAAAAGTTAAATTCTTTATCTGAGTTTATACTATATTTACAAGGTTCAAGCTTCAACCAGTATAGTATAGTGAGAAGCTTCCTGCCCTGCTGCCCAGCTGCCTAACTCTCATTACCCATGCCTAAACAGGAGACCCTACAACAAGTTTCTTGTTTATTCCTGCAAGGGGAAAAGAAAACATGCACACACACACACAAATATATGCTCCCCACCTCCTTTTTTTATAATATAAATGAGCTTTTTCACCTGACAGTATATCATAGGAATCTTCCCATAATGAGTATGTAACAGAGCTTCCTCATTCTTTTTTTTTTTTTTAAAACAACAGCACAGTATTACGTTGTATGGAGAACATACCAAGGATTTTATCCAGATGTCACCCTAAATACGAGCTCTTTCCTTCTTTATACCCTACTCTTACCTCTCATTTGACAAATGCACTATCCTTCCTTTTCTCTGCAAAACCCAGAAATTTCAAGTCCATGCAAATTGGTGTTCAGTAATGTTTGCTGAGTCAAATGATGAGACATTTTCAAATACATTAATATACAATAAAGAAGTCCTCACCCACTGGAGCATTTAATTACTTTTAAAATAGCAAGGCCCACAGGCAGCATGACAGCTTCAAGTCTGATCATAAAAGGTCAAAGAGTGGGCAGTGGTCCAATTCCTGGGAATCCCACCCCTTCCCCAGGGTAGCTAGAAATGGTCCATTTCTTGGCAAGTGAAGGTGCCGAGCCCATAAAAACTGGTAACACCGTGCCTCTTGGCCTCTGTAGCTCCCTCGTCTTCGGGGATGCCCCGTACTGTCTATGGCGTGTGTACCCACTTTTACTTTAACCTGAGCACCCAACTCCCATACCTCGTGGCCTTTCTCTTGGCTTCTGAAATAGCCTACACTCTATACAGTATATATCTCTCTAGATAAATATGTCTTTACTCAAAAAAACAAAAATACTAGAGTATAAAACAGGGAGATAATGAATTAAATATATAAATGAGATATTCAGTTATCTACCTCTGGCTGATGATTTTAAACACCTCTACTTTCTATATTCTGAAAACACTGTATCAGTAATTTGCATGCATCAGGTGCTAAATAAATGTTGACTAAATGACCAAACGGGAGAAAGACGATGTCCTCTAGTAAGGGTATACATTATCAGTGAAATGACAAATGGCAGATGAAAGAAATGACTAATAGTTGAAACAGAATGTTTATGCTTTACTCTCAAAGCACTGTTCATGCACTTTTTATCGAGCTCACCCATTTGTTGAAAAAGGAGACAAAGCCATATCCCTTAGACTTTCCTGTTGCCATGTCTTTTACCACTCGGGCATCTCTGAAATCAGAAACAATCAGAGGTTTAGGTTTGCAAACTCTTCTCTGGATATCAAGTGAGAATTTCACACACAACTCATTTTCATGTTTCATCTTCATTAAAATGAACCTTTAATGTAAATTCACCTTTTACTCTATAAAATTTATCATGTATTAGCAAATGAGGCTTAATTTTATAAACATGCAAATCAGTAACTTCTTAAATATACATGTATACAATGTACAGAAACTGCCTCTCACTTCAAAAAGTTTTAAAATTTTAAAATATTAAGCATGGTCAAAGCAGCTATTCACATGAATTACTTAACCAGTATAAAGTTCACAGGCACACTAAATGAATGGCTTTCTTTAACCATGCAATTATAATTTGCTACTTGACACTATATACTACCTAATCATTAAAAAATTAAAATAGAAAACTGGAAACTAAAAGAATGAAAAAGCTGTATATTCCCTAAATTAATTAAAGTATTTTATTTTCTCATATCAGTTCACCCCCCCTTTTGGACTATGGGTAAATTTTGAGAACTTGACATTTTTCAGAAATGTTAAATCATTGAAGAAAAACACTAGACACACACTTTAGTTTTAAACTATATAAGAAAAGATTTTATACTGAATTCTAAAATAGCAATCATATAAGATTGATTGGAAACTAAAAGATATAAAAGTAAAATTGTAAAAAGTCAGAAAGTAAAAAAGCACGCCAACATTTATCCACTGTGAACCGTAGCTTGTAGTTAGCCAGGGCAATTCTGTCCATTCTTCAGAGATACTCTGCAAAATAACCAGAGCCCTATTATTTGAGATTGAGTAAAAAACCCAGCCATGATAGCTAAAACTCCATACCTCAAAAAATTGGACTCAAATTGTGCTTCACAGGCAATCTGCTTTTAAGTTAGCCAGGTATGTCACAATGCTTGTTCTCTCAGGACACATGAACAAAACAGGCACTTTCACAACAAAAACCCAAGTCAGAAAGCCATGCAATATAATTTTATATTAAAAGTATACATAAGCATATTTTGATCAATTTAGGAGTGATATTACTAAGTTTAGGGTCAAAATGACAAAGAGGTGATGGTGAAAGGGGAAAACTAATGCAAGTCACTTCTCAATATGTAAAAATACTTATTAAAATGATCTGTATGGTACACATGCATTTAATTTGTAACTGATTCACTTCTATACCAGTATTTGTTAGACTACCCTAAACTCAAGGAACAGGAAGAGTTTAAACTGTATGAATTAGGGAAAGAAAGTACTGTATTTTTATAGCAAATATTTTAATAGGCCATCATTTACTACACATTTTTTATAAACCAAGCACTGTTGTAGGATCTTCGAGAGAATATCTGACTATCACGAGAACCTTTAAATATAAAGTTATGAACTTATCTTCTTTAACACCAACAACAAAATCAGGAAAAGATGCTACCAATTGAAAATGGTTCTTTCAAATTTAGAAACACTAACTCCTTGCGTAGCCTAAGGCTCAGACATTATACATTACCTTGACTGAAAATTATAAAACTTACAGGTCTTACCAAGGAAGAAAATAACACATAAATCAATAATTATAGTTGACGATAAAAAAATCTACAGACTATAATTATGATACCACCAACATATTCAACAAAAAGAAATTACTGATCCATGATTAAAAAGTAATGAAATCACTAAAATTTAAACGCCACTTAACTTAAACTCATCAATTATTAAACAATCTTTATCTAATCTCAAACTAAAATTCCCATGTTTTCAGAAAAGCTACTTCAATCAAAATCAAAGTATTTAATGAAATAGCTAACTAATCTGTTAAAATGTTAGAAAAGCTTTTTCTTCTTAAAGTTAAATTTCAGGAAATGTTAGCCTTGAACTATATTTAATTCTTACTTATTTCTGAAAGGATTCCCTAAGGAAGAAGCAGCAAAGATCTAGATCAGAGTTCTTTAATCCTTTGATACAGTGACCACTCTGAAAATAGGATAAAACTTACAGGAAACTCCACACCAAAATGAAAACAAGCACAGAACTTTGCACAGAGATTTACAGAGCCTTTGAAAGGCCAAAGGTTAAGACCTTCCAGTCTAGATATTTAAAAGCAAGCTAACCATCATCAAAACCCTAAGACAGATTAAAAGGAACAATCAAGAAATTAGAACTTTAGTCTCCTAATCAGTTCCCACAAAGAAAAATTTCACCTAAAAGTAGAGTCCATTTAAACACCCTAATTGTGCAACTGCCTTTAACGTTAGCCCCTTACTTATAGTCATCCCTTGCTCACTATGCATTTCATCCTCCTACCAATGAACTCTAAACTCTTCCAATGAAAACTCTCAAAATTCAACACCGATACTACGGCATTTACTTTCCAGTCTCCTTCTCATCTCATTTCTGCTGTTGGTCTGGTCTGTTCATCAAACCAAAACAAAGCTAGCAGTTCCTTTTTATCACGCTTCTAGCTGGAACAACAATAATAAAGCAACCAGTAACCCCCCAAATTTTTGTTTTTCTAAATATAACAATTACTTCTAAGAAAGTGTAGTAATCAATGTATTATTTTTACTCTATTATATGGCATGCTTTTCAAAACATTAAAGTTCTTTTATGATCAATCTGCCTTTATGAGCTATTTACAAAAGGCCTAAACTGTATGATTAATAAAAAATGCAAGCAAGACAGTGCTTCACAAAATACTAAAAGGCATTATTATTATTGTTAACAGCAACAACAACAAAAGGGTAGATACCTGGGAATTAATATTCAATAACTGCTTTTAGGGTTAAATTGTTAAGGTTTCTTTTTGTTAAAATATATTAACAGAAAATGCATGGTATCATAGAAGAGCCAAAGGGTCTAAATTCCTTAGTGAGAGCACAACTTTACTAAAGATCATGACCAAGCTAGCAAGACACTCATACAAGAAACAGTATGCACAATAGCCAATTTGTCTCTTAAAAGCTAATGCTCACTGAAAAATAATTTCAAGAGAACTGAAGACCAAAGATTTATATATCAGTGGGAAAACAATCTTTGGCTGTTAACTGCTTGAATTAATTGCTAAACAATGTATTTATTCAAGTGGATACAATACATTACATTCAGGTGTTAAAATTAATGTCCAAAATTCACAACAGATTTTCAAATTACTTCTACATAAGATTGTTTCTAATGAAAAGCATTTTAAATTTATCTTCTGCTACTTACGATATTCTTCCAAATGGTGCAAAAGCAGCTTTTATATCTTCAGTTGTAATTTCTGGACTGAGATCACCAACAAAGACATGGAAATGATCTTACAAGGGGAAGGAAGGGGAAGTGAAAAGAAAAATAAAATTTTAGAATTTAAAAAAATACTAAAATCTATTCAATAAAGTATTCTTAAATTAATTTATGGATTATAGTAAAGTATAAGTAAAACACTATTCTATATCTAGACAAATCCTATCAATTTTAAACATAATGAATCAAAGTGACAATACAGGGAAGATTCTCCTAAAGACTGTGATATATCTAATGGAAAACTGACAACTACATTTCTATTTACAGCCAATTATCATATTGGTCTAAGAAAATAAACTAATAATCTATAACAAGTTTTGAAAAAAATTAATGACTTAATTACTATTCTAATAATAGTCATTTACATTTATTCAGTTTACCACTATATTAAATCTGTACCAATTAAAATAGTGGTAATATGAGTTATGTAGACTAGATTTGCCTCAGTTAAGACAATTTACTGAACCTAGCTACACGATATACTTGGCTTAACCGTATTTTGTGAAGAACAATCAAAGAAATACCTTGCATTGCAACAGTTTGATGTTAAAGTATTTGACAGTTTTCTCAAAAGCCAACAGTTTTGGTTGCCCAGACATTACACCATTCAGTTTATGTGAATCCATGTGCAAGTGAACTAAGACTGAAGGCAACAGAATGAAAACAGTAATCCCTTCACTTTATATCAGAGCCATTAAAAAAGCATTGGAGAGAAATAACGATCCCATATGTGAAGTTTTTTTTTTTAAAAGACAATGCTCAAAAAAGGAAACACTTTAAAAATACAATAGTTGGATCAACACTTTAAATGGACACATAGATTAATTTTGACAAAGTATATTTGGAAAGAAAAGTTACCCCTACTTGGCAGGCCATAAGCAACATATTGGGTTGCCATTTGGGAAACACAGTTTCAGGAGCAACTCAAGCAATCGGACAATCGGAAGATCTGGGTGTTAAGCACAGACTGTGACCTCAAGGAAGCAGGGTATCTTGCCCTTCAGTGGTGAAAGTATTTCTAAGACATCAGCTGCTACCACAGGGGGGGGTCAGAGAACTTACAATAGCACCAAAATTGTGGACAAGCCACACTTGGTTAACACTGGGAAAAGGGGGAAAAATATTGCCAGAGACAAATAGAAATACGACTCCCTCCCTCCCCGCTCCCCCCAGCATCAAACAAAAAAATTTCAGGTGGTTAGTGAATACCCTTTCAAGAGATTTCATTTTATGTTTAAGAAGATACAATTACCTTGTGAACGCTGTGTGCTGACAACGGTACTACCTGATGACAAAGATTAGATTTGTTCTTAAATTTATTAACACAAACATATTCAATCATATCTTAGGATAACGATCAAAACATTACTGCAAACGTATGATGTTTATATGCTTTACAATAAAACTACTGTGTACAATAAAAACAAACGTTCAAAGAGTACAAAATATACTTACTGCTTGTATCTTTCTTTTGACTGCTGGGGGTTGTTGCCCAATTCACTTTGACTTCCTAAAAAAATTTTTCTACATTTATACTCCATAAAAATAAAGCTTAGAATCAGATATTGTAAGATTTGCATCTATGAATACACAGGTAAATGTTGAAGATGAAGCATTCAAAGGGATATCAGTTCTGGTCAAAATTTCAACACTTATTTTTTAATGGATACTTAGGCAAATAATGTTAACAAATCCTAACCTTTCATACTTCTCTATTAACATTCAACTACCCTTCCTATCTATAGTACCAATAATTTTTTCCTTTTATTCTTCCCCATTAGCATCCAATGTTACTAGATGTTTCATCCAAGATTGATTAATGCAACAAATAGTATTTACCACGTGCAAAGTGACATGAAGAATACTAACATAAACATGCCTCTAAAAGTTTTATCCCATCTTTTTAGTATTAACTTTGATCCTTTTCTGCAAAGCAAATACAGGTCTTCTAAAAAGGAAACAGAACTGTATACATCTTAGAATTTTTCAGCGCAAGTCACCTTCTTTAATAATGATAGCTTACCTTACCCATTATCTTCCGCCCATTCATAGCAGCTAGTGCTGCAGCTGCGTGACGATGCTCATAAAACTCCACAAAACAGTATGGATCATTTCCAGCTGTCTATTGAAGAAGAAACATAAAACCCAATTTTAAGTTTCATACTCCCATTATCTTAAAATTACACAAACTTTTATACATCTCAGTTATCATGCCATGGAGAATGAAGGGTCTGTTCTGCAAGTGTTTAGATAAGGAAGTAAACACTTAAAAATATACTATTTTATAGAAAGCTATCTTCTTCAACAACTTATACTATACTATATAAAATTTAATCTTTTTATTAATGATTAAGTGTCTTAATTAACCTTCTTAAACCTGTTACTAAAACATAAGTAAACAGGCTCTGAAAACTGAAAAGGTCCTCTGGTAAGTAAAGTTTTAGAACAGGTTTTAGAATGTGGACTTTCTAACACAAAAATTTTTGGTGCTTTGAAAAATTCTCTGCTCTTTTCTGCTAGTGTTTCAATTAGCTGAGGTTTCATGACAGAGGAAGCCTGGATGTTTTCTTATAAATTAAAGAAGCAGAAAAAACACCCAGTATTTTATACTTGTCAGTGCAAAATACTATATGATTTTATAGTCCATTTTAAAATTCTTTCCATAATCTCTCAAGCAGAATTGTGAAAAAGAAACTAATTCAAAAGATTAGAATGATAATAGAATAAAGAAATATACTATTTTGTTTCAAGTACAATTAATAGTTTAAAAAAGTCACTGGCAATGATTGAGAAGAATTTTGGAGCAAGAAGGCAACCACAAAATCGATGACACTGAAATTATCCACTATTTTATTTTAAAAACATTAAAGAATATGAAAATGTTTTAAAAACTGTTTAATTCAAACTAATGCTAAACTTAACGAGAATTCTATTACCAAGATCAATGTTAAGCATCAGAATGTAGTTAGAGAAGTAGCTCATACCTAAGAATAGGGCAATCCAATAAATAAGAATGCTTATTTTACTTCGTTTATACCCAGAAAAAAACTATACATTTTAATTTTTAAAATTTAAAATTTTTTTTCTGGGGAGGGAGGTAATTAGGTTTATTTATTTATCTTTGGAGGAGGTACTGGGATTGAACCCAGGACCGTCTGCATGCTAAGCACCCGGGCTACCACTAGAGCTATACCCTCTCCCAAAACCATACTTTTCAGATTTAAAAAAATCTAAGCCTATATATTTTTAGACTTTGTGCTATAGGGAGTATAAAATTCACACATACAAACATCAGTCCAACAGTATGAACAGACTGGGATTTAGACTTTAATAATAACGACAGGAAGAAGAAGGAGGAGGAGGAGGGGGAGGAAGATAGTTAATCTGAGCTTCTGAGTGACCAAAATCCAAAATTTAGACAAAGTGGCAGAGGCTAACCTAGCTAGTCCGTTCTGTAGGTCTAGCAGTCATTAACATTTTGCCTAGCGACCTTTACCAGGCAAGCATCTAGAATGATCCAGACATGGAGAGAACAGCAGCCTATAGACCAATGGAGAGGATATAGATCAATCTGGGTTTACACCCTTGCTTTGTCTCATTTCTGTATATGATAAGTGGGAATAATATTTGCTTAATGATGTTTCTATTAAGCATTTGTGATAATGCATTAGCATTAAAACAACTAACAGGAAGTAAGCATTCCATAAATGCTATGAGTAAGACAAGGGAGGAGATGAAGGAAGAACTGGTTTTAAATTCTCCGTCATTTTCCCCTGTCCTTCCCTCTCATCTTTCTCTGTGGGTACAGGGATCTTTTCTTCTTTGTCCAAAAGCATACAGATATTAAATGTGGTTAAGAAAACACTGTAGGGGGAGGGTATAGCTCAAGTAATAGAGTGTATGCATGAGGTCCTGCGTTCAATCCCCGATGCCGCCACTGAAAATAAATAAATGAATAAAATTACCCCCCCAACCAAAAACAACAAACAAAAAACACTTTAGAAGAGTGTGAAGGACAAAAACATTTGTTGAATCCATTTATATTATATGTAGGTGACCCTGCCACACTAGGACAAAGGTTTGACATTTTAAAATCCAAGACAACAAACTGAAGCCAATTGGCAAAACAATTACTCTTAAAAATACCACATAAAAAGACTTAAGTTGGAATAAACAGAAGAGAAAGTAGCAGATACAGATATACAAATATATTACTTTTTCCTGGAGAAAAGAAAACCAAAAGTTTACACAAAGGAGAGACCAAAGATGAAAGAATTATTCATTAACACTGTCTTTCTCATCAAAAGAATTTTAAGTTGTCTTTTTATACATATTATGATTCAGGATTAATACCAATTTGATGAGTGAATTCAATGTTTTTTCTATACATTAAAGTCTGATGAAAACTTGAATCACAACTTTTAAAAATAAAGTTAAAAACACTTTCACACAGTATCAAATGTTTATTTTTTTAACCAAATTTCCCATTTTAATTGCAATAATTGAATTTCTAGATTAGCCAATCAACTGACACCACACATAAAATAAACAATTCTGGTGCCTTGATACATTTTAAAACAAAAGCCCACATATAGCCTTCATCTGGTCTAGAAATGATCAGTTCTATTCTCTTCTTCCTTTATTTAGTAAAATAAATTTAGACTCAGTGGCCGAAACAGATTATTACAAATTTAATAAAATCCCTACAAATTTAGACAGTATGAACTAATTTAAGAGTTCCTGGAAGTAACGAATTTAAATAATGTATTAAAAAAGAAGAAAGTTAACTAAGTAAAATACCCTTACATCCATAATCATTTTGCAGTTTTTACAGGGTCCAATCTGGCTAAAGAGCTGGAGAATTAGAGCTTCTGTCAC